GAAAATAATCAATAGAGTTAATAGACAACCTACAGAATGGGAGAAAATATTTGCTCACAAATTGTACTGCTGACAAAGGGCTAATATCCAGGAAGAAATGGTGAAAAGCAACCACTTATACATTGTTGGTGGGAATGTAAACTTGTATGACCACTGTGGAAAGCAGTATGGAGAGTCTCCAGAGAACTAAAAGTAGGCCTACCATTCAATTCAGCAATGCCATTACTGGGTATCTACCCAAAGAAAAAGAAGTCACTTTATAAAAAAGACACCTATACCCAAATATTTATCACAGCACAATTCACAATAGCAAAGATATGGAATAAACCTAAGTGCCCATCAATTAACCAATGAGTGGCTAAAGAAAATGTGGTACATATATATCATGAAGTACTACTCAGCAATAACAAGGAATGAAATAATGTCATTTGCAGCAACTTAGATGGAACTGGAGAACATTATTGTAAGCGAAGTGTCTCAGGAATGGGAAAACAGATACCACATATTCTCACTTATAAGTGGGAGATAAATGAAAGATAAATATGGTCATAAAGAACAGCAATGGACATTGAAAACTAAGAAGGGAGGAGGGTGAGAGGGGGACTGAGGGTAAAAATCTACCTATCGCCTACAATGTATACTATTCCGGTAGGGTACACTGAAAGCCCTGACTTCAGCATGACACAGTTTATCCATATGACAAAACACACTTGTACCTCCTAAATTTTTTGAAATTAAAGAAAAAAAGAGAGAATCTACTAAATCTAGTAAGAATTGTGAGTCTGTGCACTTGAGCCACAATCCACTTCCTTCCTTTCTCCCCTCCCAGTTTAGCATAACAGAAGCATCACTTTGACAGGTATGGCCAAGAACACAGGGCTTCCTTTCTCTCAGTTTCCAGTTGAGGCCAACTGTATATTCCTAAGAGGTGAAGGCTGCCAGAGTTCCTTGTCCTCCCCATCTTCCTCTCCAGAAGCTAAATTCCAGGTCTGTGCATCCAAGAGCGTGAGGTCTCTTCTTTCACCCAGCCACCACACATAGGCTTTACCTTAGGCATAGAACACTGAGAATATTAGGCACCCCATTTATTAACAGGACCCTGGTAGTTGCCACTGCTCAGCCCCCTGCTCCTAAAGCCCACACCCAGCTCTGGAGCCATGCCTCAGAGATTTTGCCCATGGGAGCACTGAAGCTCTCCCCAAAGGAACTGACTTTATTTGAAACATAGTAAAGGGGAGTTCAAGTTTAAAGGGACTCTCAAAAATAATGTAAGTTTTGGTGGAAAGTAATTAAGAGAAAGCTGGTAACTTCATGAGAAATGCAAGTTAAACCATAGGCCAGCTATTGTAACCGAGAGAGCCATGTAAAGAAATAGCTAAGAAAAGCCCTCCTGGGTCATAATAAACCATAAACACTGACCTCAAAAACTACCTCTACAAAAAGGCTGGGATTTAATTGGATCAGACCATCAGAGCAATTTATGCCCTAGGGCATTGTAAAAAAACAATAGAACAATCAGCTAGCAATTAGTGGAACAAAATAGCTGGTTGTATGTTGTAAGGCCTACAGCTAGCTACCACTAAGAAAATAGCTAAAAAATAATAATAATAAAGTGAAAGAAAGAAAACAATGTTCTTAACATCATGGTCAAATGACTTCTCCTTGTCAATACTTCATGGGAGACTCAAAATCCTTCCACATTTTGGTTTTCTTTCTCTTTGGACTATGCTCCTTTTCTGTACAGACTTTTATTTTGCCTGGACTTGCTGTCTTTTTTTCCTTTTGCCTTCTATGCTTGAATGTCATCAAGCTTCCCCAAGAATTCAGTCATACTATCCTATTGACCCCTTATTTTTCCTGGGGAGCTCCCTCATGAAGTCTGGTGCCATTCTGTGGAGAAGGGGTATGTATATGAGTATGTGTCAATGGGGGGAGAATTTCTGGAATCAACAGTAGTATATTCATACTCTTAGTTCCCTTGTTTTCAGCTCCACCTCTTACTTCTGAGTCCAGAGTCTCTTTGGGATACTACTGGGCAGGCCAGATCACTTCTTAACTGAAGTTGGAAGGAGATATATATTCTACAAGTTAGTGATTAAAAGTAGACCCGCTAAGTTCAAATTCTGGCTCTGATTTTTCTACCTGTGTAACCTTGGCCAAGTCACTTGTACCTCTATCTTTTCATGTAAATAATACTATTTTAAAGATTATATGTAAAAGTGCTATTATTGCCATTATAATTGCTCTGTTATGCTTTAGAAATATCCTGCTTTCATATGATTTTTGTATTTTATTTGTTTATATCATTTTTGTTGATGTCTCCCCTCATGTTTCTTTTTTATATTATTCCTTTGCTTAATGTATTTTAGTTAATGAGAGAAAATAAACACTATGTTCAGTCCTCCATCTTAGACCAGAAGCCAGACTTGACTTTTAATTTTAGAAAATAGTCAGTGATTTAGTGGTTTTAGTGTTATTTCCTTTTAAATAATTTGTCCTTTTTTAACTAAATTATCCTGTCTATATGCATATATTACCTTTAATGTATTTGCTTAGTGGTCTAATGACCTAGACTCAAATTAAACAGGAACTTTGCTTCTTTCAATAGGTTCTTTGTGATGGTAACAAAACTATTTTAATGCTGGTCAGAATTTAAGTCTCCTTAAGCATTAGATACAAAATATAAAGAATGCTAGAATATCTGAGAAAGCACTAGTGTTCCTTTTGTGTTATATCAAGGTGAAAATGGACAGTTTTATTGCATTTGTGAAAGACTGAAGAATGAACCAGAAAATAATAATGATAGCAATCATGATGATAGCAGCCATAATTCCCGAAGTGCCTAAGTGTATACTAGGCACCTAATATGTATCATATCACATCATATCTCTCTATCTGTCTAATCATTTTACTTACTCTTTTTATTTTTTTATTTCAGCATTTTATCGGGGTACAAATGTTAAGGTTGCATATATTGCCCATGCCCCCCCCCACCTGCCCGACACCCGATAAATGTTATTCCTATATGTCCACTTAAGTGTTGATCCATTAATACCAATTTGCTGGTGAGTACATGTGATGCCTGTTTTCCATTCTTGTGATACATCACTTAGTAAAATGGGTTCCGGCTCTATCCAAGAAAATACAAGAGGTGCTATATCACCATTGTTTCTTAAAGCTGAGTAGCACTCCATAGTATACATATACCACATTTTATTAATCCACTCATGTATTGATGGGCACCTGGGTTGTTTCCACACCTTTGCGATTGTGAACTGTGCTGCTATAAACATTCAAGTGCAGGTGTCCCATTTGTAGAGTGTCATTTGATCTTTTGGGTAGATGCCCAGTAGTGGAATTGCTGGATCAAATGGCAACTCTACTTGTATCTCTTTAAGGTATCTCCATATTGCTTTCCACAGAGGCTGAACCAGTTTGCAGTCCTACCAGCAGTGTAGGAGTATTTTACTTATTCTTAACAATAGCTCTATTAAGTAAGCATTTTCATCCACATTTTACATATGAGGAAATCCAGATTTAGAGTGGGTAAGTAATTTGCTCATGGTCACACAGCCAATAATTGATAGAGCTATCTGACATAAAGGCCTGTGATCTATGACTGTACAGCCAGTCTGGGATTTAGGAACAACCTGTATTAATCAATGTTTTTTACTACATCTTTGGTGTCTTTATTTTTCTTTTGCTGGAGCTCCTGTTTCTGCTATCATGGAGATCACTGCAACTGACCACAGTATCTACTGCTTCCTTATCCCATTTCCTTAAAACACTTGTTACCAACTTTCTCATTGAAACCCTCTACCCTCTTCGAGGGCCATCCCCAAGCAAGCCCAGCTGGCGATTCCTCTAATCTCCCTCAGTGAAAGCAAGGGCGTGTCTGTCTGCTGCATCATGCAACTCAACTAGGGTTTTATTTTTGTTTGCAATAATAGGCACTCAATAACTCTTTGACGAATAAATAAGTGGTGGTAAAGTAAAATAGACTTAGTTCCCTGATGTAGAGGACAAAAGAGAGACTATTGCTTAGGCAGAGAAGTTTACCAAGTAGAAACTATAAGATATTTTCCTATAGTAATAATTTTAGAAATGGCAGTTAGAATGTTGTATAGTTCTATTAATATCACCAAAAGAGCAGTCTGATGAACTTTCAAGTTATGTAGTGTATGTGGGTTAATCTGGGAGACTAACCACCATTTACGAAATGCTTCTATAAGAAAATGTTTTCTGAAGGGCAAATCAAGTTTATTAATGAATTTTTAGAAAACAAACTGTCTACAAATTGAGGTTAATAACTTTTAAGCCATTAATTTGTTGGTTATTTTTGCTTGTATCTTCTCATTGATTTATAAAATTATAAAGAACATGAGATCAGAAATTGTGTTTTCTTTTACATAATAGTACCACTGTTTCCAAATCTTTATTCTTCTAGCTGCTCCCACCCCAATCCAGCATTTAGCATGGTACCTTATACATAATAGGTACCCAAAGAATTTGTGTATTGATTGTTTCATTTTTAACAGAGCTACCACTCATCAGAAAGAGTATATCCTTACATACCTCAGGTTTTCATTTCAGCCTAGCTTTAATTTTAAATTATATAGCAAAAGTATAAATGACCTTTAGAATTAAATATCTCCTTTAATTTGAATTGATATGATCATATAGTATTAACTAAAGTAGGTAAATATTATAACAATAAGATTTGGATGTTTATCATTTTTATACTTATAGTTTAAGGGCAAATGGTTATCATAAAGACCACTCATTCTAGGAAACACTATAGAGTGGTCGAGGAACATAGCAATGTATCTATCTTGATTCTTGGAAATGGTCTGTTGTAGAGTAGTTTAGGAAGACCTAACTACTTGTCTGTCAGATGAAGGAATGCTATGACTGGGGACAAAGAACCCACTGTACATTTGTTTTGAGCATAGTGACCAAAAGCTACTTATTTCACGAAAGATACCATTTTGCCTTTTCAGGTGTAACTGTGTGGAACCACATAATCCCAGCAATGACACATTGAAGGAATGGAAGGAGTCCAATATTTCTGCCTCTGACATAATTTGGGAGAACCTAACTGTGTCAGTAAGTAAAACACTGAAAAATAAGTCATATTTTGAGTCATTATTGTAAGGGCTTTTGTTCACATTCTGAATCAACTACTGCCACTAAGGTAAAATTTTTTTGAAAGCATGATATTATAAAAGTGATAGATTTGTTTTAATTTTAATTGAATTCATTTCAGATAGTCATCAGTATTTTGGCATTATCTTTTATTATTAAATTAAAATGCTTCTAATAGATAGTAGGCCTGAATTGCTCTAAAAGCCCACATATATAGACTGATATGACTGAAATGAACTAAAAGCACATTAAATACAAGTGATGTTGACCTAAATGAAATCATATGGCAGAACTTAGTCTGCCTTCTGTGTAAAGGACCCAGAACACTTTTACTTTACTCTGTAATACCGCTCCAGCTGTTCAGAATATGCTGAGGGAGAGGGGATGTTTTTAATATTTTAGTGTAAATACTAAAGGCTTTGGGAAGAACAAAAGTCATTTTTCTTAACAAAATTCTAGCACCTCACTCAACAAAATCTTTCTCATTTCCATTATCTTCTACTCAATAAAGGGGATGGCAACATATTTTTTACCTATAACAATTAAGTTCTGTACCTTTGTTTTATTTCCTTTGGCTTTTCTCTATTTTGCGATTTTTTTCTCATAGCTGCTTTTCTCAATTTTTCTTAATCTAGTATTATGATGTTTGTTCTTTTCCTATATATATTTGTATCCTTTATTTCTGTTCAATAAAATCTTGTAATTTGAAAAGGTGCTCTTTCTTAAATAAATATTAAAACCAGAGTAGCCCTAGTTTCTTTCCTGCTCTTCCTTGTTCCAAATATTATAATCCAAAGCTTCTGCCATTTTATCTACCTGTATAAGCTCAAACTTTAACCATCAGCTAAAAACTATGTGAATTCTAGTTCATTTGATCAAACACATACCATTTCTGTAAGTGGTCCAGTTAGTGGAACATAGAAATTTTTTTTGTTGTACAGATATTGTAAACCTGTATATATGATTCTTACAAGAGCATATAACCTATTGCCTATTTTCTCAATTTTCCCCATTGAACATGTTCTTTCAAAACTGAAATCAAATTATTTACTCTGTTTAAAATTCTATCTGACCTATATTTTGCTACCTTTATTCTTACCCTAGTCATTTTCTCTTAATAAGACTTTACTTACTCTTGTTTTCTTTTGTTATTGTTAACATTTATTGTGTTCTATCTATTTTTCCCTAGAAAAATAACATTGCCAGGCTGCTTCCACTTAGAGAGCCATTTAAATTGAACAATAAAAGAAATGATGAGCTGGTCAAGAAAGAATGCTATTGTCTTTCAAAATTTAGACATAGGATCATGGTGGATTTATTCAGTAGTGGGTCTTCTACCTATATTCCCCTTTTAAAACTATATTATGTCTAAAGAGTCCCTTGCTTGTGTCCCTTGTCTTGATGTCCCGTTAAACCCCAAATAATCCCATCTCTAAATTATTAACATAATTATTTACTCTATGTGTTTTAGATTTTCTGATAGTTTAATATATATATAATATTCATTCCATGTATTAGCATATCCTGAATAATAATCTTCTAAGAGACAGACTTACAGCACAGTTGATTTGGCTCACCATAAGTTAATTTTAGATATTAAAAATTTTAAGGTCAAGCAGACTATAGTGAAGCAGACTACTATTTTGCAATCAGTGCAAATGTAGCATTGTGTAGTTTTTTTTTTTAGGTTCTGTACTAGCTGTTAACATTCTGGCAGGAATTTTCATATTATTTTTCATTAGTTAAGTGCAGTTTTTGCAATTGATAACTGACCAGAAATAGCCTTTATAACCAAAGGGAATGCTATATAATGAAAAAGTCTTATAACTTTTAAGTCAACAAAGACTGTTAAAGTTTTTGTCTTAATTGTAATGCTAATTTTCCTCCTCAGTATAATCAATATACCATCATCAAAGTACTTTATTAATAAAGCACTGAGCTAATGGCTATTTTAACTAATTTTGTTAAAATAGTGATATAAATTTAATTTACATATTATTTATTTGGCAGGTTCAGTATTATTTTATTGAGTTGTTACATATGTCGTGAATTGTAATTTATACCTTGCCAACTCAGCAAGGGCAAAGAATTTAAGATTTCTTTGATTCTCCTAAACTGCTCTATGCGTAGTAAGTGTTAAATACTTGATAAATTCTTAATGATCATTTTGAAAAATAGTTTCATTTCACATATTTACTGTTTAGTGAAAATATTTATGGTAAGCTAGAATACTTAGGTATTCTAGGTATTTTTGGCAGTATCTCAAAATCAGCCATTATAAAGAATCCAAGATAGATTCAATAGATAGCAGTGTCTCAAAATCAGCTGTGATAAAAAAAATCCTTAAATAAAGATTTAAAATATTTATAAGCAGTTAACTAGCAATTAGTTAAGTACTGTTTCAATGCCTGAATTCAGTATTTAGCTTGTACATATATAAGGGGCAGGACACTAATTCCAACTTTAATTTCTTATTTTATCAAACATAATTTTTGCCAACTTATAGAATTGTTGAAACTTAAAATGTGTTTGAAGAGTAATTAGTAGAAATCAGTTTGTCAACAAGCATTTTTTGAGTACCCATTGCAAGTGAAACCATATGTTAGACTCCAAAGAAGAGAGCAGGATTTGGATTTGGTTTTCACTTCTAAATTTCAGGACTTATTCTGTATGTGTGTGTGCACATATATGCATGTGTGTATGTGTAGTGTACATGTACTTGTGCATGTGTGTCTGTGTTGGGGGTACAATTAGTATAAACCTGAAAATAAATGTCAAATTTAATAGGTCATGGTTTTTCTTTCTCTTTTTCTTTTTCTTTTTTTTTTTAATTAACACCCTCTTTCTTCCAAAAAAAAGAAAAATAAATAACATTTTCAAATTTGCTTTGATTAAAGTAGCTATGCAGGCCACTGGCGATTTATTATAGATTATAAGATAGTTAAGTGATCCTTTAAATGGCATCTATGCTCTGAAAAATTGAGACCAAGACCCAGCCAAATCCAAGGACCATTTAGAAGACTTTTATACCTGTACAAATGACTGAACATGCTCACAAATCTATAGATAATGTGTTTATCATGGAACTTTTATTTCCTGTTTGTTATTTAGTCATTTTGCTTACCCATTACCTTGCTTAGTAATTGCTCTACTAGCATTTCTAGACAGGCACAGGAGAAGAGGCTGAAAAACACAAGAATTCATTTTTTGCTACTTTATCTATTTTTATAGAGTTTTGAGAGAAAGAAAATTAAAACTATAATTAAGGCCTGAGGGATTTTTCTGTGATTTTTCAATTAGCCAAGTTTTATAGTGCTCTGTGTTAGCTTAATGTGGATAATGAGAATTCAACTTTAGCTATCAAGTAACGTTTTTGCAGTTAGATTAGAAAAGAGAGTATATTCTTTTAGACAATTATAAGGTGTAATAACCATATTTCTCAAGAATCTTAGGCTTAGGATAGCTACCTACTCCAAGTAGATTTTACTAGTTGTTTGTTTTCTATGACAAGGTAGCTATTTGTGATTTATTCCAGAATCTTTTGAAACTATTTATTTTATGCTGTATAAGGATTCCAGGGCCTGATGTCTGATTCATTAGGCAGACTCTATGTTGGTGATCAATCTACCAGTCCATAGTTTTTCCTAAGATCTCTGTGTACAATTCAATTTTTGTTCAGGGCCAGAATATCTCAAGGAATAATGAGGTCACTGGATCATTTAAACCATTATTTTCTATGTTGTTAAATAAAAATAAATACTTTAGTAATCTAATTTTTTAAATAAAATAAGAGAAACCAAAATGAGTTTAAAGAAATATTTTTCTTTCAAAATAATTTAATGTTTTTTCTTGGAGAAAGAAAATTTTTTTGACTTTGCTGCCACCTCATGGCTAAGACAGTAACTAGACGTGATTCTTCAGGGGCTTATAGAAACATAGTGCCAGAAAAAAAGACCACCAAGTCATAGCAAAACATGAGCTTTCCCTTGTTCATGTAATGATTGTTTTCTCATTTGTTCTTTAATCCAAGTGCAATAGTCCCTCTTTAACTCACAATTTAATTTCAGTAATTATATATCATAGCTTTCTTATCGCCTTTCTCATCTTTCTTGGTAGCTTTTGGATTAGATAATTCTACAAAATCATTGTTCTTTAATGTACAATAACATTCCCACTTCGGAAATTATATTTTCATCCCAGCTTTGCTGCTACCCAGAAGTGGTGAGGCCACAACTAATTACTTAACCTCTCCACTCTCTATACCTCAGTTTCCTCAGACATGAAATAGAAATAATAACGTCTACCTATTTTATAGGGTTGCTATGAGAAATAATTAAAGGGATGTATTTAAGTGAATTGGCATAGTGTCTAACCTTGGTAACCATTCACTATCAAATATGTCATATTTTTAATAAATCTGGTGTTAGGAACTTAGAAGACACTAAGTTGAATACACATTAACTGGGAAGTCAATTCGATTTATAGATTCAAATTTAAAGCTTAAAACATGGCTTGTGTTCACATTTCATATAATATAAATCTTTGATATTTCTCACTACCTATGCAAAGAAAATTTGAAAAGCATAATTTAATGTCCTTAAATCATTGTGAGATCCATCAGTGAAAAGCTTCAGCATCTCCCTGCAATTGATCAGAAGATGTTAGTTTTCTGAAAGGAATGCATCCAGTTTTTCCACAATAGCTTCATTTGTTTTACGTCCTCTGGCAGGAATGCAAGTCACTGCATGGAGAGTACGCTGGACGAGCCTGTGGCCATGATCATCCATATGTTCCAGATGTTCTATTTTGGTCGGTGATTCTGTTCTTTTCCACAGTTACTCTGTCAGCCACCCTGAAGCAGTTCAAGACTAGCCGATATTTTCCAACCAAGGTACTCAGACTATTTTAATTCGTCTGCTATAATTGTAAACTCACATACAACATGTTCTGAAGTCCTGTGTGTTTTAGGATAAAAGAAAGAGCAATTGCTGTAATGAAGGAAGCCACTCAAAGGCTTTTGTGTGAGTGAGCTGCCAGTTTGGAGGTGGGGGGAGGGCGGGGGCTGAGGAGAAAGCGTTTTGTGCTGCAGGTGCCAGGAGTGAACGTTCCCTGTAGGCTTTTCTCCTCACTGGAGACCCCCAGGATCAATTCCCACTTTCCCACTGAGGTTTTTGGAAATTCACAGCACACATTGCGTTACTGATTGTCACTTTCTTGCCCAGTGAACAGTGGGAACTATTCCAGCGTGACAGATACCTCAGAGGAACCTATGCTACAGTCTCTAATTGGGAAAGCCCCTACAAGACTCATTGGAACACTATTCTCTTTTTCAGTTTTTAAAGCGTCAGTCGCTCCCCCTAACCCACCACGTTTGCATCTGCATATTTGGAAAGGAAAGTAAACAGAGAAACAGCTTAGTTCAATATTTAACACTGCAAAGTAACACCTATAATGTCTGATTCCGCCAAAAAAAAAAAGAGAAAAAAAAAAAAAGAAAAGAAAAGAAACAAGGAAACAAGCTTTTTAGGGATGAGCTATAGATTATAATTAAAATTCCACTCTGGGAAAATGTTTCAAGAACTGTTCCTTCCACAGAGGGCTTTTTTTGGTCACCTCCTCCTTCCCTAAGGTATAATAAGATTTTTCTGCCAAAAGCATAATCTGATTAATACAAAAAAATATTTTGTTAAACTGAAACAACAATCTCAAGCATTGTGTGTGTGTGTGTGTGTGATAAAGGCATCTTAAAAGAAACCAGATCTTGTTGATAATTGTATGAGGATATTTGCTTAAAATTGGCCTTATAAATGAAAAGTGGCTTTAGAAATTGGCTTACATAGAATAAATTTTAAATTTCCCATTCCATTGTGTATATTCCCAATTGCCATACTTATATCATAGATAAGCTAAAGCATTATGCTTCAATAAAAATAGATAATTTTATTTTATGGTACTTCAGGTTTATCACATTAAACTGTTACTTATGTGAGAAAGAGCCCTAAAATTCAGCCAAATTCTGGCCATTCCACCTTATTCTGTGTTCTAAATATTCATATACTTGAGTTCATAATAAACTTGTATTTTAAATAAATATTGAAAACAGCACAACCATCATGTAGCTATCCCATAATGGTTCATTCTGGAAATTTTGAGTGTGTACCAATCTTAAAGATAGTAATGCACAAATATATATTCAGGTTCTGACAGAGCTAATGGTAATCTTACAGTATGCATAAAATATAATATTAAGGTATTATATCATGAAGTGTTTATAAAGTGTGATTCTAGATTATGTTCCTGAGTATTCCTCGATATTTATAGCTCTTTCAAGTGACAAGTGTTTTCATTATTTTTAGGTTCGATCTATAGTGAGTGACTTTGCTGTCTTTCTTACAATTCTGTGTATGGTTTTAATTGACTATGCCATTGGGATCCCATCTCCAAAACTACAAGTACCAAGTGTTTTCAAGGTGAATTTATCCTACCTCTTACTCCATCTCTCCATCTCTCTAGATTTAATCTTCATTTAAATGATGACTATAACCCTAGTACTTATGATTTTCATGACAATATGAAGAATATAGATTAATAGAACAGAAAATAAAGTACACACAGCATACTAAAATTTTGGTTTAATATTAAAAAAATTAATTTACAAAATACAAACCCAATGATTTCTTGAAAAAAATTTCCTGTCAACTGTAGCAATTGATATATCTATATACAACACTCCTAACAGTTAAAGAAGCATTTCAAAACTAAGGGAAATGCATTGTCTTGATACAGAATTGCGCAGCAGATAGGGCTTGAAAAACAGATAAAGATAGGACTGGTGTAGAATTCTAACCATGTTACTGATGAGATACAGGTTGAGTATTCCTTATCTGAAATGCTTGGGACTAGAAGTGTTTCAGTCATATTGTTTAGGATTTTGAAGTATTTGCAAAAACACAATGACATATCTTGGCGATGAGACCTAAGTCTAAGCATAAAATCTATTTATGTTTAATATACAACTTATACGCATAGCCTGAAGATAATTTTATACAGTATTTTAATGAATGTGGCCTGTCACATGAGGTCAGGTGTGGAATTTTGTGGCATCCTGTTGGTGTTCCAAAAGTTTTGGATTTTGAAGAATTTTAGATTTCAGATTTTCAGATGATAGATACTCAACCTATGGTGACCCCGAGCCAGTTCCTTATCCTCTCTGAGCCTCCATTTTTCTCATCTACCAAATAGGGCTGGAGACTCCTCATAAGTCATTGTCAGAGTGAGTTCCTTTAAGAATCATCTCAGACATCAGCCCTGTTTGGGCTTGTCCTTGAGCCTCTGATGTGATCGAGTGTCTTTTTTCCATTTTCGTACCATAGCCTGTGCACACATCAAAATAACTATTGCAATATCACATTTAAATATTCTGTTTATATGTCTGTCTCTGATTCTAAACTGAAAGAAGGCTCTGACTCATTTATCTTTGTATCTCAGTTCTAGGACAGTAGCCAACATGCTATTTGTAAATATAAATAAATTTGCCAATGGTAAATGGTAAATATTAATATTATTCTATTTTTATAGGTATTGATTAAGAACATAGATTATTATTCATTATAGACCACTCAGCTCATCAGTTTATAATTAGGACTTTCCTTATAGCATCTGTAAGACTTCATTTAATTAGGTATCCATTAATCCGGTTAATAACTATGTATATTCTTTTACTCTTTGCAGCCCACCAGAGATGATCGTGGCTGGTTTGTTACACCTTTAGGTCCAAATCCCTGGTGGACAGTAATAGCTGCTATTATTCCAGCTTTGCTTTGTACTATTCTAATTTTTATGGACCAACAGATTACAGCTGTCATCATCAATAGAAAAGAGCATAAGCTAAAGGTATATTTTAACATACATTTTAATGTAAATAATTCTAATTTAACTGATATCAATTGATGTTCATTAGACTTTGCCTGTGTTCTGTATTCATTGTACAGTGAAATATTAGAATAGTGTTTTTAGATTCAAAATTTTTATTGTCTTTCGAGATATTTTGTCTTACAATGAAATTAAAATTTATTTGTTTGGTTTGTAGTATTTGGCTGAGCTGTAAAATCAAGACCTTATCTCAGGTCTTAAAAAACACTGTCAAAGTTTTAACTTTACAATGTTTAACATATTTTAATGAAATAATAATCTATTCTAATGAAGTACAACCTTACCAACTTACCTTACATCTGGGATTCCTCTGTTCCTCTATTTAACCCTAGATATATTTATTACATTAAATTTATTATTGAAACAAAATTACATCTTCAGATATTTCTCATTTTCTTTAATTATTATTCTCTCTGCTGCCTATAACAACAAAACCCAGCCATAAATGTTACAGTTTGTTTTATTGCAGATTTCAATAAGTTTTTTACAAAGAGAATAACTAAATATGGATGTATGTTACATATTCTGACCCTATCATTTTGCAATTTTGAATAATCAAAGTTGTTTACTGGTATGCAGTTTGTCTGAGATATGTAATATGAGCACTATCACTTGCAGGAATATGTTAAATAAAATCAATGCAATCAATGAATAGTTAAAAATAATCTGAATCAAACCTTGTAAAGACATTTCCAGCTATCTTCACATACCCTTTAAACTCTAGGAAAAAAATCATTGTCAGAGCAACAGAAATCATGTTTTATAGAATTTTATAAGTATGTTAGAGAGATGATAAAAATATCTGATTAAACTTTTTGATGGGATATAATAGTTACATAAATGTAGCAAAGCACACATGTTTGTAATAAGTCTTACTAAGAGGGAATTTTGTGAATATATTGGAGAGAATATATGTCTATCTTAAAACAAAGGGCATTCTTCATTCTCTTTGTAGAAAGTAACTTAAGAATTCTCAAAACCTTTTTTAAAAAGAGTTAATTCAACTCACTTGCAGTTTTTAACAAACAAAATGTTTATTAAGATATATTTTATAAAAATATCTCATAAAGTCTTCAGAACTAGACTAGTAGTGAATGTGCCAGTACATGTTTAACCTTAGTGTGAAAAAAAGAGAGAGACCCTGATTTATAATGTTTGCATATTTCCATCGTGTGACTACTCCTCCTCTGGCCCATTTCAAGCTATCAATGTGACATCAACTGGCAGCAAAATTTTATAATTGCCTCACTAAGTCTATATGAATTGGCTTCAAAACCCCACTGAACTAGGCCATTCAATATTGGAAATTTTGAATTATTTACAGAATTATTTCTCAAAATAAGGAATTCAGATTTCTAAGTTTAATAGCCTAGTTATTTAATATCAATACTTTAAAAATATGATTTGCTTTAAAATATCCCTTCTTCAAAAGCAAATATCACCATGACTTTATTATTGAAGTTACAGTTAATTAAATAAATCTATAAAATAAGTTTAAGCATTATATGTTGAATATTATGTTACTCTGCTATTCTCTAAAAAGTAGGAAAATGTTTTTCCTAGATATGTTTATATTTTTAAACTGAAAGCATCTCTATTTTTATGATTATAAAGTAATACATATGATATTTAAAAAGTTAAAAACAAAAGTGAAAAACAGTATAATTACATTACCTGGAGAAAACATTGTTTACATGTTGGTACATACCCAAATATATATTTTCATAGTACAAATGTTGCTTCTTTTTTTCATGTGAGGACATTATCATCATAATCATCCCATATCAACAATATATGTCTGATTTATCATTTTTAATTGCTGTATATTATATATTTCATTATATGATACATGTCTAAAAATGAACTAAACACTCCTGTTATAAGAAGAAAGTAAGCTATATCATCATTGTTTACCTTTCAAAGAATGATTTTTTTAGCCTTTATAATTAGGCAGAAATTCCACTGATTTCACTGAAAAATTACCCTGTGTAAAGGCTATCAGTTAAACTGATTCAGCCAGCATTTTTTCTAAGTATTAATGAAATTACCTTAAAACAAAGTTAGAAGTAAATGCGAAGATTTGCTGAGGGTGATATTACCTTTTTTGCTGTTCTGTACCCTTGCTCATTCCAGGTCTCTCCATCTTATAAATTGCACATCTCTCGCTCTTACTCCTTGTTCTTCATGAGCCAATATTGGCCCTTGACATTCACACCCTTTCCAAAGCTCTGAACTGACAAATACACTAATTTCCTCCTTTACATATAATGCAGAATAACTGAAATGTAGTAAAGCATTCTTTAAGTGGGCCTTTCAGGTACTTGCATTATAGAATTAAATGCAGAACTAAGGAATTTAATATTTTTTGTAACTGAAACTTGAGGCTACATTACTAAACTTTTTTTATTATACGAAGAAGTGATTATGTAGTTAAAATATTCAAATATTTGCCCCTTAACATTCTGGATTTAGTAAATGATAGAGCAAATCTGACTTAACTGTAAACTCTGCTATTGCCACAGGTAAAAGAATCAGTCTGTTTTTGGCCACTATGAGTCTGAAAACTCCATGCTCCTCCTTAGATATGGATATATTCAAAGCAAGTTACTTTCCATGAAGACATATTTTAGCTACATCAAACTCTTTGGGGCCTGTAGCCCTGGTCTCCAGTAAGCTTTAGTAAAGTGTGGTCTGATGCTGATGATTTTCCTGTTAATAACAACAAAGTCACCTTCTCAGAACACTGTTCACTCAGAGTGACAGTTTGCTCCATAGTCGTCTTCCCCACCTGTTGCTTCACTGAAATGTTTGCAAAGTCTCCTGGCTTTGACTTGAACCACATTTTCACCAAAAGATGTGCTTCTTGAGTTTATCCTACAACTTAACTGCTTGTGAAAACCATTTTTGGCTTTTCCTAATTTTCTTTTATGACTTGAAAACCCATTTTTGCCTTGGTTGGAGCATTCCCTAAAATTGTATAATGAATCATGTTTTCTAGTTTCAGTATCAAACACCTGGTAGACTCGACATCATATATCTATTTAAGTCTACATCATATATCTAAATCAACTCAGAATTCCTTATTTCGTTCTTTCTCTCTCCTCAAACTTGTATGTTAGACATTTTCACTTTTTCTTCACCTCCATTGCCAGAACTAATAGTCGTTCTTCTTTTAGATGATGTTTCTCATGCCACCAAAAATGTTTTTTTATCATTTTGTGAGTGTTACTACATACACAATAAAGCTGTCTTTTGCTGTGTTAAGCTAGGCCCAACTCACTAAGTGACTACTCCCTAAGAATGAGGGAGCTCAAAATTAGCAAACCGCCAACTCACTGCTCTCATGATCCTTTGGGTGGCTCAAGAGTGAAGGAAACTGCACATTGTAAAAAATTTGAGAATGCAAAGTATCATATGTGTTATATATAGATATACATATGAATCCATACTCTCTATAGCATTTTGTTTGTTTCTTCCTTAGAGAAGTGGAATGGGCATAGGTTAACTGAATCCCTTTGAAAAGCATTAAAAATATCTGCTTGGTTTTTTCTTAAGCACATTCTCTAAAAGTGAAAAGAAACAGATTTATTATCTTACAGAAAAGAAAGTTTCTGTTAAGATACAACTATGGGATTTCTACATGTTTCTGTAGACAGTTCAGGCTTCTTTTGACATCATTTTTAATAAACAGCAATACAATCCCGGATTACTTGAGTAAATGAATGCATTTGCAACATTCATTTGGCACCACATCCTCTTGATGATTATGGCATTTGATATGTTCTTTTCTGCCCTCTTTGTCAGCCTGGTTCTTCATGTCAATCTATAGTCTTTTATGTGGTTAACTTGACAGATGCAGGAAATTGCTGCCAAGCTTTGAAATGAATTTTTTCAGCAGTGGCATCTGGGTATCAGATGGTCCTCTTGGCTGGCCTCTTGTCTTGCTGCATGTTGGTTTTAGTGGGGTCTGGTGTAGCATCACCTGTTGCTGTGCTCCCTTTTCCTCCCATATGTCCATTTCCCGTGATTCATGGATGAATGTGAAAATAAAAGCTCTAGTTCTGTCTTTATTTGAGAAAAAAATCTACAGAAATATGTTAGGAGGTACAGAGTTCTCTCTCTGACAAAGGGATACTTCCCTTTGGCTGGCATGCCTATCAGCTAATAATTTGGTTACAAAGACCATGTTTTTTAAAGACATTTTAAAATGAAAGGCAAGAAGGATGCTGATTAATTAGTGGAAGTGCCAGAACTGCTTTATTTCCTTTGGTTTGCATTAAATCAAGATGCTCCCATTGTTGTACAACACAATCAGGGGGAGATTATATTTTTGTTTTCATTATATATTTGTGCATTTCCAAGCTAGCTTTCTAAATTTAAAAAGGAAATTATTCTCTCTGAAAGAATTATTTTGTGCACTTCCTGCAAACTAGAATCCCACTGTTTACATTTGTATCATATTTTTAAAACACTCAGTAAGAGCTCTAGGAAATCGCTATCATGAGGAAGCCCTTTCTCATGTTATTAAGCTGCAGTGAGCTTGGACCCTGAAAAAGTTTTTAGGTGTGCTAAAAAACACAAGCCCTGCTTTCAGGGCTCCAGCATCTGCCCTCCTCTCATGTTCATCTCACAGCAATGGGCAACTCTTATATTTTTCATTCTCTCTCAGCAGCAACTTTGCAAAATAGCTTCAATGGCGCCATTCACATTGCACTCCCTCAGAGGCAGGGGCCTGAGTGGTTAGGTCCTTCACTGTTCTAAATCCTCACCCTAGAATGACTAGGACAAAACACTCCTCAAACTGCTTGACATTGTCCTTCAAAGCTGTGGTCCCCAACCACCAGGCTGCAGACTGGTACCAGTCCCTGGCCTGTTAGGAACTGGGCTACACAGCAGGAAGTGAGTGATGGGTGAGCAAGCAAAGCTGCATCTGTATTTACAGCTGCTTCCCCATCGCTGGCATCACCGCCTGAACTCCGCCTCCTGTCAGATCAGTCTCAATCTCCCATCAGCCCCACATGGGACTGTCTAGTTGCAGGGAAACAAGCTCAGGGCTCCCACTGATTCTGCATTGTGGTGAGTTGTATAATTATTGCATTATATATTACAATGTAATAATAATAGAAATAAAGTGCACAACATATGTAATATGCTTGAATCATCCCGAAACCATTCCTACCCCCAGATCCCCACTCTATGGAACAATTGTCCTCCATGAAACTGCTCCCTGGTGCCAAAAACATTGAGACCACTGCTTTAAAAACTAGAGTTCAATCCAGTGGAACTACATCTTCCAAAATATTTTGCAAAAGATCCAAGAGACCATATAATGACCCTGGTAAAGCTTCTTCCTATGCCTTTTAGGTTATGCTGACACCAGGATATTTCTCTTTCCACTCTTTAGCTCTTACAAATGAAATTCTTTCCTGAGTTACCTGCAAAAAAATTTTCCAGAGTCATATTCCTCAAAGAAACCAAGTTTAGACATTTTGGTGAACTGTAGCATTGCCCCAGCTAAGCTGACCCAACAACAGGTATCACTGAATTGGTGACAACACCCAAGAGTAAAGGTTCTTAGGTGGATATCTCCCATTTTCTCCTCAGTATTATCTCTTGCACTTTTATAATTTGGCAGGAATATGCAGAGAGGAAAAGAAGTACAACTGACTTTAAGAATCTTTTTCTTAATAAGGAGACAATTAACAACATAAAATAGCAGAGAGGAAACACTACCATAACAGATAACAACAAATACTCAGTATGTTTCACAATCCAGGCTATATGAGCTTTCACATTAACTACAAGTTGCTTGAAGTTTGACAAAACTGCCTCTAAGCCAGCCAAAATTATTCTTCTAGAAGAATTGGTAATTTCTGCCCATGATCATGATAACAAATGTAACTACTATATTTATTTTAAAATTATACTTATTAAGTTTGATTCTAAGGCATGTTTCGGTGATATATATTTCATTATTGAAAAGTCATTCTGTAACTTTTGTTGATCGCTTATTGTGTGCCAATGATTATGCTAAAAACTATGGAAAATATTGAGAAATTATATGATAAGTTGTCTGCTCTTAAGAAACATGCAGTTTTATTGAGAAGACGTGATACATAATGAGTACAAAAGAAAACTTTATTGTTTAACCACTAGAATGTAATAATACCTTAACATTTACTGGGTGCTTACTATACAGCAAACATTCTTCTAAATGATTTACAAAAGTAAATAATTTAATTCTTAAAAGAATCCAATGAGGTACCTTCTATTATCATCATCATCATTTTTCAGATATGAAAAAAGAGGCACAGGAGGTTAAATGATTTGCCCAAAGTCATTGGCTGTGCCAACATTTGATTCCAGGCAGTCTGTCACCAGAACCTGTGTTCTTAAAGACTTTATTATACTGCCTCTCATAAAGTGGTCACTAAAAATTAAAAATAACAGTTGGAACATAAAATAGGCCAAGCCTTTGGCTACCACTTAGGCTTTACAATTTCAATTGCTGTGGGGCACAGAGGGAGAAGGGAATGATGCTATTCCCCATCTTTGATTTCTCTTCTCACAACCTTACCTAATCACCCTTCCAAGAGAGAAGTCTCCACATGTCCCATTGCACCTGTCATTTCCTCCTTTACGTGTCCTGCATGACCCTTGGAAGCACTTAAATTTGCAGCACCTGGAGGTCAGCGACCATAGGGTACAATCACAGAGGAGACAGAAAATACAAAAATTATCATTTTTAAGGGGAGGCTGAATTTTTCTAGTTCTGAAACAGAAACAAATGAGAACAAGATAGCATTCTATTGATACAAAACTGAATCCATGTAAGGGAGCTTAGGTTCTAAGATATTCTTCCCAGTAAAAGTCACGCACTGAGATGAAAGAAGGCAATTGGCAATTGAGTGTTTAAGAAGAGTTTAATCTCCAGGAGATCTGATATGAAGGGTTTCTTAGGTTTTGTCAGGAAGTGGTTTCTAGTCACAACTAGGCCATTCTTAGCTCTGTTGTTGACACAGTTTCTTTCTTCCTTCCTTCCTTTTTTTGTTAACAGAAAGGTTGTGGGTACCATCTGGATCTATTAATGGTGGCTGTCATGCTCGGTGTGTGTTCCATCATGGGCCTGCCATGGTTTGTGGCTGCCACGGTCCTCTCCATCACTCATGTCAACAGCCTAAAACTGGAATCCGAATGCTCAGCTCCAGGAGAACAACCCAAATTTCTCGGCATTCGGGAGCAAAGGGTTACAGGGCTTATGATTTTTATTCTTATGGGTTCATCAGTGTTTATGACCAGTATTTTGAAGGTAATGAAATTCACCTTTATGAATTTGAGAGAAGGCAGAATATATTTATTATTGCTTAAAAATTTCATTTGCATCTAAGCCATACATTTGCAAATATTGTGTGGCATGTGAGGAAAGTGATGACTTTCTTTACCATGTCTATATAAATCTTCTTAACCCAAGGGAGAGAAGTTATGTCCTGTATTTTAGAATCCTTTACATATATAAAAATTTAGTCTGGCAAAATAAAATTTGAAGTGTAAATTATTTTAATAATTTTGAAATGGTGATCAAACTATGAGAAAAAGTCACTCATTATTTCTAACAGCCTTGTGACCTAAGTTCATTGCAAGCCTATATAAACTTTATATTTTCTTGTCAATGGACAGATATATTAACAATTAATATTATTTACTATAAGATAGAGGTGCAGACATGAACACAGTCATGGTCATGGTCACATATACAGTTTTGTATTTTAAATGCTCAAAAAAAAAAAATGCATGGGCATCATCATTGCATGTACTTATTTTTTTCATGCAATAATTGAAATCCATTTTGAAGAACATTAAAGAGTAATTATTTTGTCATGTAATTTTGGCAGGTATTTCTAAGGTGTGCTAATTGCATTATAAATTATAACTCATTTTAGTTGCCTACAATTTGAAAATTTTAATTATTTAATCATTTACACAAGTTTGCAAGAATTAATTTTTATGTTATGTAAGTAATTATAGACATAGGATGATGGTGAACTATTCTAATAAAAAAGAGAAAATTTGAACAATCTACATGTCTAAAAATATCTGACATAATATGGGAACAAAATGTAAATGTTAGCCTTATTCTTTACCTTTAATTCAAATATTTTACCATTGTGAAACAAAATTCAAATTGTGTCTAAAGTGACATAGTAATAGTTAATATTGTTCATTATATATTACATGAATTTTAAATAGATTTTGACCTACTGAATACTTATAACAACCTTATTATTATCATCTCTTTTTAGATTCTGGGAAACTAAGGCACAGAGAGCTTAAGTAACTTACTTAAGATTACACAGCTAAAAAGTGCTAGAGCTGGAATTTGAACTCATGTCTTCTGGTTCTGTACTGTACTGCTTCTATTCTAAAATACCCTTTTCCCCCTGTTTTTCTCTTTGGTAAGTGCAAAATAGCATGACCACATTATATTTTTAAATAATTTGTGCCTTTTCTCTAATTGTTCTTTTACAGTTTATTCCCATGCCAGTGCTATATGGAGTGTTTCTTTATATGGGTGCTTCATCTCTAAAGGGAATTCAGGTAAATTATTTACAATACTGTGAGCACATCTATGATGACTTATCTTAAGGTCTATTGATGATAAGTCATGGGACAGCTAAGAAAATGACATCACCCAAGAGAGAAGATTTTAGATCACAATTAAATTTCTTCCAACTGATCAGAGTTACAAAAGTTAAGGAAGATTCTCTCCAGCATCTAAGGTTCATAATCTTAAGAGTACTTTATTTACCGTATGTATATTAAAACCATAAGAAATTTAGATTTTACAGCTCTTTTAGAAAACTAATAGCAGTATACTTCTGGATATATCCAAATGCTTGTCATCTTTGACACTCTAATCATCTTTATGGACTTGTATCTATGAAAATAGAAAAAACTTTACACCAAAAGATGTTCATTGTAACACATATATTAAAATATTAGAAACAACCCAATTATCCAACAGCAAAAAAATAATTAAGTAATCTGTGGTACAGTCACTGAAAATTTATCATTATGATGACCACAAAAACAACATGGTAAAAATGCTAGTGACATAATGCAAAGTGAAAAACTACCTACCATAGGTTGATGAAGCTATGAGTTTGAGCTAGATTAAAAAGGAAGATGGAGAAATAAAAATAATTTGTTGAAATAGTGAGATCCTGGGTGATCTTTTTCCTTTTATGTTTGTTTTTCTGTTATTTATTACAATTGTATTTATAGAATTATTTTAAAAATTAGACTAACAATGAAGGCATAGAGTAAGACAGTTTTGAATATACAGGGAACTATGCATTGTTTAAGTAAGGATTGGTTAAATATTTTAGACATTGTGTTAGTTTCCCATGGCTGCTTAACAAATTATTATACAATTTAGCAACTTAAAACAGCAAACATTTATTATCTCACGGTTTCTGGGTGTCAAGAATTTGGCAACAGAGTAGCCAGGTGGTTCTGGCTCAAGATGTCTCAGGTGGGGTTGCTGTCAGGATGTGGACCAGGGCCACAGTCATCTGAAGGCGTTATGCAGCTAGAAGATCTACTTTCAGATGGCAGTCACACAACTGTGGGCAAGAGGCATTGTTTCCTTTCTGGTTGTTGGTAGGAGGCCTAGGGTTTTTTGCTATAGTTGCCTCTCTATAGAATATTTATGTGTCCTTGGGTCATGGAACCTAATTCCCTCAGAGTGAGCAATACCAGATAGAAAGTGAGGATGAAGTCACAGTGCCTTTTGACCTCATCTCCAAAGTCACACATGGTCATTTCTACTTTTTTCTATTTGTAATAGAAGTGAGTCATTAAGTCCAGCTTACACACAACAGGAGGGAAAGGGAAAACTCCATTTCTTGAAGAGAAGAGTATCAAAGAATATATGGACACATTTTAAAACCTCCACAAGTATATTCCAAACCTTTACAGAGGCTGTTGGCAAATTCTTCCTGCTTATTTCTTTTATGATACTGTTATGCATTGAATAGTGAGTGCTTCCTCAAAATTTATGTCTACCTGGAATTTTAGAATGTGAAACGGATTTTAGAATGGAAACAGATTCTTTGCAGATGTAATTAGATATGGATCTTGAGAGATTATCATGGATTTAGGGTGGGCCTTAAATCTAATGACTGTGGTTCTTATAAGAGGAGAAGACACAGAGAGACACAGAGAACAAGGTTACGTGACAATGGAGGAAGAGATTGGAGTTTTGCTGCCACAAGCCAAGGATGCCAAGAGCCACCAGAAGCTGGAAGAGCCAAAGAAATTTTCTCCCCTAGGACCTTCAAAGGGAGGGAGTATGGCCCTACCAATGTCTTATTTTCAGACTTCTGGCCTCCACAACTGTGAAAGAATAAATGTCTAGTGATTTAAACTGCCAAGTTGTGATAATTTGTTGTGGCAGCCCTAGGAAAGTAACACAGATTTCTACTTAAATTGTCCTTTGAAGAATCTTGTTTTATAACAACGTTATTTAGCCCAAACACTCACATTTTATTGGAAATGAGGCTAGAGGCTTATTTATTGTATAGGGTTATTTTTTCAATCAAAAGGAAAATATAAATTTCAGTATTTTCTATGACACAGCTAGATACATTCCTGTTCAGAAAATATAAAAGAATAGTCACCTGACTGAAGGACAAGTAGCACAGGATCTCAGTTCCTGAATGAACAACTAACTGGGTTAGGACTTTGGGAGAAGAAGCAGCACTCAGGCCTTAGGACAGTGCTGGATGTTAGACTTAAGTAACCTTTAATATGAAGTCATTATAAGACCACCAAATACTCAAAGTAGACAATATGACTGACCCTTCATCCCAGTGCTGGGTAAACTTAATTGGGAGAGGGAGATGGCTGAGAAGTGTTATGTGTTTAAATTTTACTCAAATTAGGTTTAATTTGCTCATTTAAAAAAATATCATGTAGGAAAATGATATTTTGATAGAATTGGTTTGGTAAGCCAGATAGAGAAGAGTAATGAAGAGGTTTTATTTATTTGTTTTGCTGGGGTTTTTTTTTTTTGGTTGTTGTTTTTATTTTTTGCCTTTGGCAAAAGTTCCACGAGTACTAATTTCATCTGTAAGTGAAAAGTATTTATTATTAGGCCCCAGGCTTACATAAATACAGCAGCAGAAGTTTAAGAAACAAAGTAAAATCATTTTGATAGGTTTCAACAGATTTTTCCCCCTAATTCCACTCACATGATTTTATACCCATGAGTTTTAGAATTAAACAAGAATGTCAAGTGTTGGAATTATTTGGGGTGTGAATCTTTTAAATGAAAATTGAAGAAAACATCGTAAAAGGCCCATAAGTTAAGTATAATGAATTTTAAATAACACAAATGAAACAGCAAGCCAGGTCACACATTGACAAACAGGGTCTCGCACTGAGAAACAGGGTTTGTGAAAATGTAAGTGAGCCCTGAGCTCAGGCAGTTGAAATGACTGTTTGGAATTGTAGCTAACTGGGTGGGGAAACGTGATACTGATATTGTGACATGCTAAAAGCCAAATGCAAAACTCAGGATACATTTAGCATAATTATTATTACTTAAATATATGCTGAATACCAACAGTTCAAGGAGCATGCTATTATACTTTGTTACCCTATATGTTGGAGGAATCTGTATGTTACCTGCTTGTTTGGCAATATTAAGAAACTTATTATCTAGGCTTCTCACTGTGAAAGATGGCAGAAAAAACAGATCACAGTGTTCTCATGAATGCTGTTTCTGTATTCAGATATATAACCACATCTATATTCATTCCAGCACTTTAGGGATCCAAAGTAAAGCAAATGTGCCATTTAAACAATAACAATTGAAGCACCCACACACTAAAGTACACTTATGCAATAACAGAACTTCACAAATGAAGAAATGGTGGCTGGGAAAAAGTAGTTCTATAGAAAAGGAAATACTCAGTTTTAAGTTAGAGAATTTTATTTCCTTCCTACTCCCACCTCCATTGTGCACCAAGTTTTATTTGTTTATTTAATGACTTCTAATTTTAAAAGGTATTTAGGAAGTAGAAATAAAAAACCTAATGACACACACACATATATATATATGGACAGTATGGAGAGAGATGAATCAGGAATGAGTTCAGCACTGAGTATTCTCCATAGAAGTTTCAATAAATGTTTTTGGAAGATATTAATGAATATGAATAAATGAAGGGTCAATAGATGAACTAATGTATGTATGAGTTTGGTTTAGGTAACTGAGGTAAGAAAGATCATGTCATGCCATAAGACAGAGAGCACAGAAGGAAAGATAGGGTTATGTTGAGTTTGGGATTCTTATTATAGGTACAAGCAAGTTTGGGTACAGGATGATCTGACGCTAACATTTTGACTCCATGAACATTTGTCTGTCTGCATATTAAAGTGATTTTGGAATATTTGATAAGGATTGCTTACAGTTTTTTTTATAAGTTATCTAATAAATAAAATCTAAATACTCTTTGGAAAATGTATATTACTGTAGAAATGGCATGAAATAGAACAGTGACTGACAGTGATTGAAACCATTATTTTCTAAATAATCACCTCTTCTTGGAAACATTAAAAACTGCAAAAATTGGCCTGAGAAAAATTATCCAAATGATCCACATAAAGTAAAACATACAGTATAATTTGTTAGTAAAATGTGATTGAAGATTTAAGTTTATTGTGAAAATTTAATCTGTAAAATTCAAATTGAGAAAATTTGGTTTGCTTGATAAAATTGTCCTCAGAGGCAGGAGGATCACTTGAGTCCAGCCGTTGGAGGTTGCAGTGAGCTATGATGACACCACTGCACTCTGCCTGGGGTGACAGAGTGAGACTCTATCAAAAAAAAAGCCTCAGAGTCAAATCTATAGCAATAATATTAGGTAGTATAAAAATAATTGTACTCTATGGCAAAATGGCAAAATTAAAACATAAATATCATTGATCCAAATGAAAATAATTGTATTAAAATGCAATATAAATTGCATTAAAATGCATTTTATATTGCAAATATAAATTGCAATATAAAATGCAATATAAAACATATAAAAGATTTGACTATGCGGTATTGGACATTAATCAAGAAATTAAGTTAAAGTTTGCTCTGGAAAACTCTTTATTAGCCAAAATTTATCTAGTTTAAATTTTTTTTTATTTCAAAATATTATGGGGATAGTTTAATCTTTATGGTTAAGATGTTGTGTCTGTAAACTTAGCATCAAAACCTTTCTTGAGAATCGAAGTGGCTAAGTCAAACAGCAGAGTCAAAACAAGGAGGTTACAACAGCCTACTCTGCAGCTCGATACGGGTCTAGAACTCAGGAGAGAGAGAGCCAAGGCAGAGACCCAGTTTTGGGAGTCATTAGCAAGTATGTGAAAGTCAAAGCCATAGTGGGTATGGATGAACTATTCCAGGAGAGAAGAGGACAGAGAATGGGTATCCAGGAAGCCCAATACTTGAGGGGCAAATAAGGGAAGAGATTGTGATGTGACAATGAAAGAGGGCGGTGATTATGTTTTAACTCCCAGGGCTCTACTTTCCAAGAGAGCGACATGTAGCATTGGCTTTACCATTTTTAAACTCTTCTCGATTATAACCATATTTGAGAAAATGTGGGATATTCTTAAACAGAAATTATAGAAATTCAGAGTGTAAGCATACCAATCCCATTGTCCTGATGCCCCAATATCAACTTTAGTGTGATTCAGGTATGTCATGTGAATGTTAACATTTTGGACCATATTAAACGTCAACTTTTCCTACTTTTATTGTTGTCTTACTCCTAAGAGAAATTTAGTGTGTTTAATCTTTTAGCTCTTTGATAGAATAAAGCTCTTCTGGATGCCTGCAAAACATCAACCAGACTTTATATATCTAAGGCATGTACCACTCCGAAAAGTCCATCTCTTCACAGTTATTCAGATGAGTTGCCTTGGCCTTTTGTGGATAATAAAAGTTTCAAGAGCTGCTATTGTCTTTCCCATGATGGTATGAAACTTCTGTCAACTCTTTTTCTCTTTCTCTGATTTTCTGGTCTCTTTGGAAATACAAACACATGAACTAAAATTGGAACGACGATTATTGGAAATCCCAGTACAAACTTTGGTACTAAAACTAATGACTTAAGATACATGTGTTTTATACACATTTATCTTCAAATGTTATTTTAATCTCGGCCCTAATAGAAACCGACTTGTTTTCTACCAAAAACCAAAAAAGCAAATCTACATCTTCTATCTTTTCCATATTAAATTATTTTATTATTTACTTTAGGTGTTAGCCCTGGTATTTGTAAGAAAGTTGATGGACTTGTTGTTTACCAAACGGGAACTCAGCTGGTTGGATGACTTAATGCCTGAGAGTAAGAAAAAGAAACTAGAAGATGCTGAAAAAGAAGTAAGTGAGAGTAAAATCAATATTTTATAAAGAAGGAAAAAAAGAACATAGTAATAATAGCTCTTTGCAAAACTATTGTTTTTATCTTTAGATATTGATTATTAACAAACATAGGTGAAGTAGTTTGAAAGTTTAATGTTTAAAATCTTAAGGATTTGAACAGAGAGTGAAAATCTTACAGGAGGAAACCAAATTCTAATGAAATATGCAAGTACTTTGTACTTAGTTACCCTAAAGGCTTATTTTTCCATTGTGGATGGCAGAAACTTGCTGATGCTTAACTGTTTTCAAGTTATGGTCATGTGATGATTGCTTTTTGGTAAAATATGTGAGAAGAAAAAAGAGATATTACCACTGTTGGTATTTTCCTAAGGAACAGAGTTTTAATCAAAAGATTCTAATGTAAAATTAGTTATACTTATAATATGTGAAATGATTAAGAGGAAAAATGTTGCTTTGATTTGCTTCCAAAGTGATTTAAGATTGAGCAAATGTTGTTTGAGAAACTTTTGGGATTTAGTTATTTTCATGGACTGCTGGTTTATCCTATTCTGATTCATCAGTAGTAGCAATTTAAGTTTTATGACATATTTAAAGTTCATATGTAAGCTTGGATCTATTTTAAAGGCTAATCATAACATTTTTTTAAAGTATATAAAAGCTACAAAGGGTACAAATGGAAAAAAAAAATGACCAGTACAACATTCAACAGAATGATTGAACCCATTCGTTGTAAAATATAAAATAAAATTACTAGGTGAATAGAAATGAAATTGAAAGAAAATATTTGATAAGAATTGTGCATTATTCTTTCTATTTTTCTTGCTTCTACAGGTAGTCAGTACTGTATTCAGTTTCCTATCTACAGAGTATTTTCTCAAACTATGAATATATTTCCTATTTCCTTGGGGTAATTCATTTACATGTGTTTCAGGGGTCTAAGGTTTTGCTCATTTAGTGAGGCCAGATTAGGCCACAAAATCTAATGTGGCTTCTGCTTGAAAATGCCTATAAATACAGATACTTAATGTGTGATTGGTAGTTCCTTTTCTTTCCATGGTGTCCCATCACTGCCAATGGATTCCCACATGTAGAGAGTGATCATAATGACATATCTTAATTCTGTATGAATATTTCAATTTTTCCAAATGTTATAGAAGGCATACTTAGAATCATACCACTAGTAATAATAACACTAAAAATATCATGTTATTTTTCTGTTTAACATATTCTTATTTAAGTATTAGAGTTTTTAAAAAATTATACTTTAGGATGTTTTGATATTCTTTATTTCCATTGAGGGCTTTAGTAAATAATTTGCTCTCCCCCTCATATACCATTGAAGAAAAATACGACAGAGTTTGGCACAAGTAAAAGTTAAATAAAATGGACACAAGAATATGGAAATTCTAAAGCCTTAGGTTATCCATACTTGATGTGATTAAAATTATTCAGATTGACACATTTTCCAAGAAAGTTTAAATTCCAAAGAAAATAATTTTTTAAAGACAAAACTCATTGGCTATGTGCTTCTCTTCCAGTCTTTCTGATCATTTCAGTACAACAGATCCTCACATAACATTGTTTTGTTATAACATTGATGAGAAAAAATTGATTCCCAGCCAGGGCACTGTCAGGGTGGAGTTTGCATGTTCTCTCCATGTCTTCGTGGGTTTTTTCTGGGAACTCTGGTTTCCTCCCACATCTCAGGCCAGGCGCGGTGGCTCACGCCTGTAATCCAAGCACTCTGAGAGGCCGAAGCGGACGGATCATTTGAGCTCAGGAGTTTGAGACCAGCCTGAACAAGAGCGAGACCCCGTCTCTACTAAAAATAGACATAGAAAGAAATTAATTGGCCAACTAAAAATACATAGAAAAAATTAGCCGTGCATGGTGGTGCATGCCTATAGTCCCAGCTACTCGGGAGGCTGAGGCAGGAGGATTGCCTGAGCCCAGGAGTTTGAGGTTGCTGTGAGCTAGGCTGACGCCACGGCACCCTAGCCCAGACAACACAGTGAGACTCTGTCTCAAAAAAAAAAAAAAAAAAAGATCTGCCATTTAGGTGAACTGGCATGTCCACATGTTCCCAGTCTGGGTGAGTGCAGGTGTATGTGAGTGCACCCTGCAATGGGATGGTGTCCTGTCCAGGGTGGGTTCCTGCGCTGGACACCCATATTCTCAACTGGAAATAAGCAGGTTGGGAAATGAATGAATAAATGAATAAAAATTATTGCAAAATAAAAATTCATCAAGTATACAATAATCATATAAATGCACAACAAACAGTTCAGTATGAAAGCGCTCAGTGAGCCAATCCATATTAGTTATTGTTTTTGAACTATTTGGTGGTAGAATGTGCTCCTTATGATTTTCACTTTGCAAACATTTATTCTTTGATTTAACCCACCACCTCTACAACCCCTGTCACTCACTGATTCATCAAAATTTAGGTAATTGATTATCTTACTTGTTTTTACTAATCTTTCTTAAATTTATGTATAGCTCACATTTATTTCAATGTTTAATATCAAAAGTGCTTTAAGTCTTTATTTAGAAGTTTGGTGATGTTTTTGTGATTAGAAATGTGCTGTAGGAACTTAAGTCTTGTTCATAACTATTAGCCTGTGGTAAAACTGGTTTCATCATTCCTTGTTTCATTTTGAAGTTGCAGTTTCCAAGAACCTATCAACAACTTCAAGTGAGCACTTACTGTACTATTAATTATGCTCAAGTGGTAATCTACCTGTGCAATTTTGCTTTATTTTCCTACTTTTATTTTCTTTCAAATGTTTTTACTGCTTCTGATAGAATAACCTAGCAACAGCACCAGCCATATAATCATCTCTTCTGCAGCATTCTCCTTATGTGATACTATACCATGAAACATTCTTGCCCTTAGAACTTCAAAAAATTAAAAATGATATGTAATCTACTGTATTATGTTTAAAATTCTTCCCTATTGTGATTCAAAGAAAATTTCCGGGCCGAGCACAGTGGCTCACACCTATAATTCTAGCAGTCTGGGAGGCCGAGGCGGGAGGATTGCTCAAGGTCAGGAGTTCAAAATCAGCCTGAGCAAGAGTGAGACCAGGTCTCTACTAAAAACTTAAAGAAATCAGTCGGATAACTAAAAATATATAGAAAAAATTAGCTGGGCATGGTGGCACATGCCTGTAGTCCAAGCTACTCGTGAGGCTGAGGCAGAAGGATTCCTTGAGCCCAGGAGTTTGAGGTTGCTGTGAGCTAAGCTGACACCACAGCACTCTAGCCCAGGCAACAGAGCAAGACTCTGTCTCAAAAAAAAACCAAAAAAAAAAAAAAACAGAAGAAAATTTCAGGTTCACCTTTTATTTTTCTGTGAAATAGGAGAAAACAAGTTTGATTATAACCCTAAATTTATTAGAATTTGCCATTCCCATTGTCCAGAACCACTCACACAGCTGTGTATGTGTGGTACTTCTATGTATGTGTGCCATATGCCCATTTTGGAGTTGATCTCACAGGGCAGAGACCCTGTGTCTAATCTTTTTACATTATATACTCACTGTAGTCCAATGGGTATTTATTGTTTTCTGAATATGAAGATAAAGATTTTAGAAGTAACTAAATATTACTAAATTTCCTAGAACTCATGCTTTCTGAAAGAATACAAATATAGATTTAAAGATTTACTGGGGCAATTTTACATCTAAATGCTTCAGATCCAAGTTTGAAGGCAAAGCCTTGCAATACATTAACCACGCAGGTTTACAGATCCTTAAAATCTCAGATGGATTAATAAGGTGATACTTTCACGTGATCCTCAGCACATGGAAAGAAACAAGAAAAGCAATAATACAGTCAAGAAATTATCCATTGTTGAACATTAAAATATAGTTCTGACTACTGCAAAGACAGCTAATTCTCTATCAAACCGGAGAGAGAAAAGGAAGTTTCATGATGTTCACTTTCTAGTTTGGAATTAGTATAAAAAGAGTATGATCAGTAAAGAGAGTAGGAATATTTAAGAAGGATTACATTAAATCTTAAATTCCTGGTTGATTTTTTACTTGTTTGCCTAGATCTCGGTATTATATTTTCTTGAGGCTTGTGAACTTGATGGAAGGATGTGATCTTACTGTGGCATCTTAAGCAAAGGCCCAGTCTTCGGGAGATTGTGTGTTAAGGTGGTAAAGGGACAAGTTCTCTAGAAACGTTGCATTTCTGCAATTGCTCAAATTAATTGAGTAACTTTGATCGTGATCTGGCAAGATGGTAAATGGCAGAAATGTCTCAGCTCCCTGAGACTTGAATTTAAAGTAGGCTCACCTCTTGTCCTTTTGATGATAGTTGCAAGCTTGTACCTTTATCCTCCAGGGTTTTCCTATCAGTAGCCCATTTCTGGTCTTATGGCACTGAGAAAACATTCATTTGACCTTAAAATTCAATAATGAGTTAAGCAGAATAAATAGCTACACAGGCCAGTCCAAGGTCGCAGAGCTTCTGTTCCAAATTTTCATGTACTTCATGCATATGCATATGCATATGCTTCAGTTTTTAGAAAGAAAGGATTATAATCAGGGTAGAAATGAATATTGGAACCCTGACATTTTGCACATTGCTCTGTGTAAAGGGAAGACTGCAGAATCAAATTCTGGATGTCCAAATGTGCTCAGAGTACCAACATGCCTTCCTTCCTACTTAAATATTCTCTAGGACATTGTGCATATTTGACAAAAGGCTACTGTTAAAAGCAGAAAACCCCAGCAGAATGTTTGCTTCTGGGCAGGGGGAAAGAGGGTTAATGTTAGATAACTCCTGGAAATTCAGCTCTGCAGAAATGATCATGATACTGATACTTCTTGATTTACTGGGAGTTCACTCTAACATATACACTATAGGAGTAAACAAAAAGCGGACATGGAGCCTTTTGATCTGTATAAAGCAGGATCATGAAAAAGGTCAAGAAAACATAAAAGCAATCTAAAAACAAGAGCAACCAAAAAATTACAGAGGATGTCTTACTAAAAAAGGTCAAAATTGGTTGTGGATTGGGAAGCATGGCCAAATTATTATACAGATGAATATCATTTCTACTTGAATCTTAGGATGGTGCAAACATATTCTCCATCCTCAAGCAGTGGTTTTCCAAAGTGTGGTTCTAGAACTTCTGCGGCATCAGCCAACACCTGGCAACTTGTTAGAATGCAAATTCTTGGGCCGTACTACAGACCTATTGAATCAAAACTCTGGGGATGGGGCCAACCACCTGTGTTAACAAGACTTCCAGGTGATTCTGATGCATGCTAGCATTTGAGATAAATCCTTTTCTCAAAACACAAAGTCTGAATCTCCAAAATATTACCTTCTAGTTGCAAGGACACCCTATCAGAATTTAAAAATTTTTAATAATTTATTATATAATCGTTTAGAGACACTGAAACAAATATTCTGATAAAAAAGATGCTACCTTCATGTATTTATTAATATACAAATTCTATATGGAACCCCTCCCCATTTTTCCTTTTCAGCTTTTAGGCAGTAGTTTTATGTATCAACTCTTCTATTCATTGCAAATCATAAGAAATACTTCTTATAAATATAACATTTATGGTTTTCAGAGATTATATATATGTAATGTGTGCAGCATTATCTATTTTATTAGTAGTTGGTGAAGGAAATGGTTTAACACTTCTTATGTTCTGTAGGCTTTGTTTTACTCTTGGGTAAAATAAAGGGCTTGAGTTGGGTTTCTGAAGTCCTTTCCATTTCTTAAGATCTGTGAATTTTTAAATTGCTGAATATTTTTTCTCTCTAATACTCTAAGCTTCTTTGTGAACACTGGCTCTCTGCTGTTGTTTGAGCTTCAAGATAGAGATATTATATTTGAGGGCTCCTACATTTCTACATAGATACAGACTTTGCCAGAAAAAATGGCTATGGTAACATGTTACCTATTTCCCTACAAGTAGGTAAAGGTTAAAGCGTTTGTTAGGTATCCTGATATATGAATTATAATATTTATGCTATCACAAAATGCAGTTCAGATTCATGGTATAATTTGATATATAACACCCTACTTAACAAAACATACCAGAATTTGACTTCAATTTTATTTTTCGCTTCTACGAAAGTCCTTTAGCTCCAACCAGGCTAGTTGTTCACTGTCCTGCAAATACATCTTATTCAGTCCTCCCTTTTATCGTTGGCCCATATTGTTTCTTCCCACCGAGAGTGTCTTCCTTTCTACAACCTCTGCTCCAGTGCTTTTCATGGTGATCCTTCATATCCTCTCACTGTAGGATTTCTGTACCTCACAAATTACCTGTCGTGTAGATCATGCTTAATACATATTTGTTGAATGGATTAATTAATAGCTCCTGGATTATTCTTCTTGTTCACTATGTGCCTAGCACATACTGCATGCTTGGTAAATATTTGTGTGCTGTTAAGTAGGTTTGTTTTTCTAAGCCTCAGTTTTCCTGCTCTTTACTAGATATAGTACTAATTGTCCTTCACTTACTTTGTACTTTGACTGTCTTAATTAAAAGATGACATTTAAGTCACAGTAAATATCCCTCAGTCAAATTGAAGAAACCCCTCAAGTCTTTTTGTGCAAACTTTGATCCATCACCCCTTGAACATCTTCCCCATGTTGTAGAACTCCACATATTTTCTGATGGACCCTACGTAAGCTAAGTGCTGAATGGAACTCATTTTAAGGTACTTCTGACTTAGAAGGTGGCGAATACCCTGTTAGCAATATGCTGTCACTCTCTTTTTCTTTTCTGGTACAACTGAGATAACCTAGGTTGTGAGTGCCATGACGGCTAGTGCCCAATTTGACGGCTCCTCCTCAGAAAGCCTCGCTTTTTGGCTTCCTCACGGTGCTGCCAGGACGCAGCCGGCCCTCCGTCCCCGCGCTCCGGGGCCCACCCGGCTGCCTTCTGGCACTGAAGGCAGCGGCTGCTCTGCCACCCTTCTCTTCAGATAAGCATGGCTTGGAAAAGCTATCTTTAGAGGTGATGAGTTTTTGTTTGGATAGAATTATGACTAGTATAAAGCCCACACATGCTAACAAGCCACGGAGTGCAAAATAATTATTGAAAGCAATTTGAGAGAAAAGTGGAAAATCATCTGAAGAAAAAACAAAATTGTTCACAAAGCTTTGGTCCAATTTTTGCTGTTAGATTGAATCTTGAGCTTTCCTTTTCTGCTGCCAGGTAACCGAAGCACTGACATCTCTGTTCTCTTTGGATTCATGGGATTTTACTCTTTCTTAAACCTTTCTACCTGGCTTCTTGATATCTTATTCTGCATTGGCCAGACAAGATATTATCTACTGGGCTTCACCTTTCAGTGGGCAACCAAGGAAGGAATGGCATTTTACTTGTATCTTGGTTTTACTTTGGTGTCACTGAATGTCTTCTCTTTACGTCCCTCCATGTACTCATTGCTCCTATAGAAAAAGTAACCTTTTCTACCTGAAATGATACATACTCTTTGCCCATGACCTTGGGGATGTGCATATAAGTTTATAAGATGTATGTATTATATTCCATATATTATGACTAATTCAGTTGCCAAGCATGCCTCATTCTAGGCTGCATATTGCTCTGCAGTGCTTGAATGGGTAATTCCAAACCAATGGCATGTCTACTCACCTTGATTTAGCTCTAAAAATAGTACTGCCAAATGACAAGGAGAATAGGCATGATACACAAGTAATAAAATACTTCTAATGGGCCCTAATTTATTTTTTTCCCTTGAGGAACAGCAGAGAAAGAGAATTAAATTAGTTCCTGGAATGCAAAGGGGTAACACACATGCCATTAGTACCACAGAGTATAAATATAACATAGGGTTTCTGGGGGCAAGTTTATAAAGCAGAGAAGCAGCAGAGCTCACATAATTCCTGGCTCTCCATTGATTCCACAGCATAGGAATAGAGATTCTGTATCCACCACAGCCAAAGTCCCAGCAGAGAGGGGCCTGCCTTGGCCAGTAGGTTGGGAGAATACTCCAAGAATGAAATGAGACCTGCCTTCCTGTTGCATTATATATTCATAGGTTAGCTGAAGAGGCACTAGAAAACACTTTGTTTCTTTAAATAAGGAGAAATATGGCATGGGATATTCAGACAATGGAGGGCTAAGATCTGATTACATTAGGAACACCCATGAACATCAGGAATAATGACATCAATCTACAGTCTCTCTGGAAGCTGGTTAGGCCAGCTTAGCTCTGCTAAGCTACTGAAAGAGGGAAGGAGATGAGTTTTCAGGGCCACCTCCATTTTCTCTCATCAGTTTCCATTTGTGCAGGGGTTCACTTAGTTTTTCATGTCTATAGATCTTAAAATTCCATTTCTGGAGTTAGAGCCATTTTTAAATGACTGAATAATTCTTTGAACTTAAACCATGCTAATGATCCATTTGAAAACAAATGTATTAAATAAGAGCTATAATCTATAGATAACTGTCTCTTTTGGTGTGTGGAAAAAGTTTGATGATAACATTATTTGAAAACCAAGCCAGGACATTTCAGTATGGTAGCCATAAGATTATCTTTATCCCAAAACATAAAGTGAATCTGGAATAGAGAGGACACAGGAATTTATAACAAGAAAACATTTTTCTTTCTAACAAGAAAAATGTCATATATGAAGAAATGTATATATGAAGCATTTCCACCCTTTGGAGAAGAGCAGAATATTGTCATTGTAAGAGGAAATTTGAGGCATCAAAGTCTAAAACACATCTAAATGGAGTCAAACTACTTAGTTTTCTCCTCCATCAAGGTGCACCTGTGTTTTGGTCCATCCAGGGAGATACCTTCCATTGTCTCTTTCCAAGACTCTAGAGCAGTGATTCTCTAAGTGTGGTCCCCAGACCAGCATAAACAACATCACTTGGAAGCTCATTGGAAATGTAAATTCTTGTGTCTTCTCTACTCCAGACTCACTGAATCAGAACCTCTGGGAATGGGACCCTACAATCTATATTTTTAACAAGCCCTACAGGTGATTCGATATAAACTAAAGTTTGTGAACCACTGCTCTGAGTACATCCCTCTTTCCCTTCTAATAGAGCATTCTGGGAATATCATTTCAACTTTATAACAGTAGAACTGATTATATTACCCATACTTTTGTCCTTGTAAAATTTAGATTAATTTTTTTAAAAACCTGCTTGGAAATTAACTAGTTTTTCATTGAGTGACATGAAGGAGATTGTTGTTAGCATTTAAATTACTTTGTGTTATGAGACTCTCATTAATTACTTATGTTCTTAGTAGCTGATACTTTATTGAAAGGACCTGTGCTAACATTAATAAATGCAAACAGAGTGGAAGGTCCCGAGGTTAATGAGATAATGAAACATTAATCTGTGTTTCTTCTTTAATGTAAAATGGAGATTCATCAGGTTCACTTTGTATACTTTACATTTGTCTTTTCAGGAAGAACAAAGTATGCTAGCTATGGAAGATGAGGGCACAGTACAACTCCCACTGGAAGGGCACTACAGGTAAGATAGGAATTTAAAAAAACAACAATTTAAGTAATCAAATGTGTTGATATGTATTCTATTTAAGAATTTCATACTATGTGGACTCCCACAGAGGTTTGTTGAAGTTGTGTTAGAGAAGAAAGAACTGAGACTAATGATTAGATTATCCGAGTCCCTGTACTAAGTTCTGCCAATTCCGGCTGTGTGACTATACCCAAGTAGCATATAAGGAAGCAGGATGGGGAGCTGTTTTCTGAAGTATTTTCTTCCCATATTTTATAATGTATATCTAAGATTTCTTTTATATTCTTAGAAAGTAGCACCTGAAGACAGGTCAAAATTTACTTTTCGTATAAATGAGCTAGATGTTCACCAAGTTGATCACAGATAAATGCTTCAACTCTGGGAATTTGCCTTTAAAAAAGAGATAATCTATTTCTTGAGTTGAAAGATTGAGTCATTTTGGGAAATATTTATGCAGTTCTCCAAAATATGTTAATCTTCTTTATGTACAAAGACATAGCAAAAGAAAGCAAACTGCTGTAAGTTATGATAAAAACTTTTGCAAGAATTTAGCCAAAAATTATCTCTTTTTCTTTCCCTTTCAGTATAATTAAAATAGTTTTCCTGTACAATTATATTTTATGTTCCATTTAGTAACCAATTTTATGATCTGAATGTGTTTGAGGACAATCTAAGGCTATGCCAGTGAAAAATCAGAGAAATCTTTTCTCTGAGGAGGGAATTTGTCCTAATGTTGAAAAACAAGATATGAAAGAATCGTTTGGATCTTCAGGGTCTGACTCTAAAATCATATTTCCTAGAATTTTAGGAAATATATACCACTTAAGGATGAGCACAAGTATAGAAGGCATTATATATATATATTTTAACAACATTTAAATACTAAAATCCTGTTGATTGTTTAGTTGAATCAGCATATTACCAAGAATATTCTGTAGAAACTCTTCTCATGTGGTACCACTCTCAAAAGGGCTTTGTGGTTAAATAAGTTTGGAAAATGTTCTATAACTGCATTCCAGTTTGGAGATTTACAATGCATATTAGCATATGAAACAATCTAAGTAGTACTGCATTTTTTAAAAAAAAAAAACATGTTTAACTTTGTTTAATCTAGCATTTTTTCTACTCTTGCTCACAAGACTCTTCTTCACATAATATGAAAAACTTTTATTTCTCATGATGCTTTTTCAGAAATTAGTTGATCTTATGCTTTGACTTACTAGGGAGATATCTTTCTGGGAAGGCTAGGGGCTGGAGGATTTAGAGGGATTAAAGAACACATTTCTCAATTGAGCAAGGAAGGGAGATCCAATGTTTTGCTCCTCTTAAAAGTTGAATTTGTTGCTTTTTTGTGAAGAACCACCAATGAGGCTTGTGTGAGGTCAGCTTAGGATCTCTGGAGACATTATTTGTCCATAACAGAGTTTGTTTCCTATGTGTAGTAAAGTGAGAGCTTTTTTTCTCATTCACTGAAACTCTCTTTCACTTGGTCAATGATTTATTGCTGCTGCCATTTGGTTATGTTTCTAGCCCTGGGGATGTTTTGGAGCTTCCTGAATATTGCCTATAATTGGTGCCATTTTAAAATGTAAAAGAAGCACCTTTAGTATGGGCCCTGCTATTGTAATTCCCCCATTTGGAAAGGCTCTGTCAAACACACAGGCTGCCTTCATTTATTCAACAAATACTTACTGAGTGAGTACCAAGAGTTTGGCTCTTAGGGGAACAGTAGTGAGCAAATGATCAAGAATCCTGGTCATCATGAAACTTATATTCAAGTAGAATAGAGGTAGAGGGAGACAGAACATAAGCAAATGAGCAAATAATGTAGTATAGTATTTCAGATGATGAAAGGTACAATAAACACAAAAAGCAAATAAAAGAATGGGAGTGCTATGGGGGATGGAAATAGCAGTTTGAACTAGTGTAGTCAGTGAGAGCCTGTCTAAGAAGGTGACATTTGAACAAAGGAGGAGAATGGTCGCACCATGTGAAGGGACATTATGAACAAAGGGAAGAATGAGAACAAGGCCCCAAGACAGCAGCAAGCCTGTAGTGTTCCAGAACAGTCAGCAGGCCATTGCATTGTGGCTGGAGAGGAGTGAGCAGAGATGCAATGGCAGGAAGTGAAGTTGGAGGATAGGAGGGTGGGGAAGACCGAGACTTACAGGCCATTATAAGGACCCACCCTTTACTCTGAGTCAGTAGGAGCCACTGAAGGTCTGAGCACGGGAGGGAAGTGACCTGTGATGCCATGAATGTTAGGGGCAAGAGCCCAAGCAATAGATGTGCAGAACCTAATCCCTGTAAGTTGAAATGAATTAAGAACATTGCAGACAAAATCAGTGTCTATATAGCTCAAACTTTTCTTTAGGTTTTTTATTTTTCCCATTTTTTAAAATAATTGACAGAAATATTCAATACTTCTCCATTTTAATTATCAAAAGTACTGTACAGGAAACAAAATGTGGTGTGTGTGTGTGTGTATATGTATATAGATACATATATACACATATATATACACACATAATACAGTATTATTCAGCCTTAAAAGGAAGGAAATTCTGACATATGCTACAACATGAATGAATCTTGAGGACATTATACTAAGTAAAATAAACCAGTCACAAAAAGACAAATACTTTATGATTCCACTTACATGAGGCACTTAGAAAGTCAAGAGACAGAGACAGAGTCATAGAGACAGAAAGTAGAATGGTAGTTGCCAGGAGCTGGGAGGAGGAGGAAATGGAGAGTTATTGTTTAGTGGGTATGGAGTTTCAGTTTTATAAGATAAAAAGAGTTCTGGAGATGGACGATGGTGATGGTTGCACAACATTATGAATGTATTTAATAACACTGAAGTGGACATTTAAAATGGTTGAGATGGAAAATGTTATGTTATGTGTATTTTACCACAATAAAAAATTGGGAAAATGGGAAAACATGCTCTACAGAGACATAAAATTGTCCTATATTTAGTTTCTATCAATGAATAACTGCAGTTATTTCTCTAATGTTTATTATTTCATTTTGGATAAACTCCTATCTAGAGATGATCCATCTGTGATCAATATTTCTGATGAAATGTCAAAGACTGCCTTGTGGAGGAACCTTCTGATTACTGCCGATAACTCAAAAGATAAGGAGTCAAGCTTTCCTTCTAAAAGGTTTGAATTTTAAAATAATGAGAATTTATACTGATTCTGATTGTTTTTGACATAAATCCATTAGCAAAAGAATAATATTGGTGTCCATCAAATTTAGATCTAAAATATTTCAGAAATTTTTTTGAAAGTGGGTGAAATTATAATTTTCACAAATGTTGGTATGTTTTTTAACATCTCCCTTTGAAGTTAAAAGCTTACCCCCAAATTATTATAGTTGGGGGGAAATGGTGCTATAAATGAGTCCTGATGTGCATGGTCTTTTTGATGTTCATGTTGGCCTTTTTGCAGTATGATTTTATTTTATTCTCTATCACCCATTTCCCAGGATCCCTTTAGGTATTGACCACATTTTGCTCTCCTTCATTTCTCTTTTCCTAAGCCAATATGCACTGTGTGTAAGCAATGATGATTTTCTATTTAGTATATTTCTAGTCCCCCATTCCAACCTCCTAAAACTCTTTTATAAGCTTCATACCCCAAAACTTTCAGCTCCTGAAAGTTCTAGCCATTCTTACTTTTCTGTATGTAATCATATGAACAACTCCTGTAGTTTAAGTGCATGCTGGGGCAAGAGTGGATCCTTAAATATCAAGGTGAGATTTCCAACTGAATTTTTTAGAATTTACAAATAAGGGTTCAAATCACCCAGTCTCCTTAGATGCTGATCTGAAAAAAAGGAACTCCTATGTTATGCTAATATCTCTTCTTGTTAGAGAGTGATTGAGGGATTTGGGACAGTGTTTAATTATTAACTTCCTTTTTTATAACCTTAAATTAACTTTTTCTACTTAATTTTTATATTACATTTTTGTCATAAGCTCCCCTTCCTAATCACTCTAGAAGCTGATTCCCCAAAGGTAAGAAAGACCCTCTCCCTCAAACCTATTCCTTGGTTGCATTTCCTTATGTTAAATGGTGTCTTCTAGAAACCTGGTTAGTCTTTGTCCTTTGTGTGAATTTTGGGGAGGCAAAAGACATGGAAAGTCTTGGGCTCAGATCCAGTATCAGATCGAGTTTCATGGCATTTCTGTAACTACTCAGCTCTTTAAGTGGGTCTGAAACTTGAGTAAAGTTTTTCCCTCCATGATTTATACAAATGCATCATATATAAATCAACAAATGTCACAGAGCTGTATTTGGTAAAGAGGCTTCATTAGATTTGGAGAATGTATTTCTATATTTCTTGTTGCTGGTTTTGTCACCCCAAAATGGCATGCTGCTTCAGTGTCATCCCTGTACCAAACAGTATAAATAGGACAAGACCAACAGCAAATGTTCAGAGTCTTCATCCCAGAACCTGGGGATTCTGTCTCTCAACTACCTCCAAAATTTACTCCAAAGTTGGTTAATATATGTTCCTCAATAGGGTTTCTCAAAAAATTTTAGTTGGCTATTTTTTGCCTTTTAATAGGACCTAAAAATCTTCATGTATTTCTTTGCTTGGCTCAAGCAAAAGTAGCATTTTATTCTAAAACATTCTTTAACTCCCTTTCCCAACAATCCCTGCTATAATCTGATAATTCTCACAGTAATTCTGTTTTGCTAGAACTCTTGGAAGAAAATCAGAGTTATGAGAAGGATAATATCTCAAGCCCATTGAAATATATACTTGTGGACCCTTTCACATTAAAAATATGGCATTTCTCTAATTTTTTTAAAAAACGTGAAGTCCAGGTTCATGAGCTCAAAAAAAATGCTATCTGTGGGAAATACGTGGAGAATTTGAGACAATCAACCCTGTAGATTGTTTTTCTTCCTATATATTACGGATTCATAGTCCTAACTCTTCCTCTGTTATTCTTCGGTTCAAGTAAAAGTTTTTATGACATGTTATTTTAGGCACTCCTTAAAGTCAAGTCAAGTGACACTCCACAGAAAAAAATCTTTTTTTAAGAAAAATATGTATTTAGATGATTTCAGACAGTAAATTGACTCTACTGAATAATGCAATGTGCTTTAAAGAAGGACCAATTTTAAATAGATCATCCTTTATATTTCAATATAACCACTATTTCTTACTCTTTAAACATGTATTTTCACCAATGTAAGGTAAAATAGTTATTTCTTTATTTCTTATTTCTGAAATAAAGCTATTTCAACTATTGTGGGATGGAAGTTTGCTTAGCTTTCCTTATCTTTTGATGTGATCAAATCTGTAACTGTCTGGCGGGGCGTGGTGGCTCACGCCTGTAATCCTAGCACTCTGGGAGGCTGATGCGGGAGGATCACTTGAGCTCAGGAATTAGAGATTAGCCTGAGCAAGAGTGAGACCCCATCTCTACTAAAAATAGAAAAAATTAGCCGGGCATGGTGGCTTGCGCCTGTAGTCCCAGCTACTCGGGAGGCTGAGGCAGTAGGACCACTTGAGCCCAAGAGTTTGAGGCTGAAGTGAGCTAGGCTGAAGCACTCTAGCATGGGTGACAGAATGAGACTCTGTCTCAAATAAACAAAACAAAAACAAAAACAGAAAACAAGTCTATAGCTTCCCATGTGAAAAATATCGCTTGGTTGGTGGTTAATGTCTTTTATCCTCATAGTGGCAGAAGCTCTGGACAAAGGTATAACTTACTGAAATCCTCAAATCACTGACACTATTAATAATAAAGCAATACCCTTCCAAAACTGCTGCTTTCTCTTGGTATCTGTTGAAGGCTTTAAAGTATGATGATGATCAGGAACTATGAAAATGTGTCCATTGACAAAAACAGGCCTAAAGACCAGGTTACCAGGGTCTGTATCTCCTGAGTCCTAAGGTGGTTTCTGTGCAGCCTTTGACACCCCCGACCCCCTGCAGTTATTTTCTGTCCCGTCCCTTGCTGTATTGTGCCTCAGAGAATGCTAGAAAACTTTTCTTGGTGGAATTTGGAACAGAAGTTATATTTCCTCAATTATTTCATTCATTTTTTGTTGTCAAATATTTTATCTAGTTTAACTGAGAGTAGACCCTAAAATCTAACTGCAAATTCTACTATATCTAGAGGATGTCTAATTTTGATCCTAGCACCATACATACATGCTACAGGCACCTCTGCAGCTTATTGGGTGAGTTGGTGGAAATAGGGCTCATTAAAAACCACATTGCATCAGAATAGGTGAACAACTGCTATGTTTTATAATACTGACATCCAAGATCACTGTTTCTGGAGAAGGTCCCTGGCAATGCTTGGAAATGCAGCACTTAATTTTGCCTTGGTGGCAGAGGCTAGGCTGTGGGACCACCCTCCTTCCTACAAACCTCTCACCAGGGCCCTATCCTTGCCCTCCCCACTACCTTCTTCTATCCTGGATTATCCTTCTTTGCTCTGATTTCCTAAGCCTAGGCTCTCTCATAAGTGGTTGGTAAACATTGTTCATAAGGGCCATTTTAATGTCATTGAAAAATAATGATTTCATAGATTACTTAGCAGCATGACACTACCAGATCACTGTTTGCCCTCTCCTGCAATATTACTTCCTTATATTTAAAATTTTAACTCCTCAAGGGTAGGGTCAAACTTGTCCATCTTGTATTCCAAAGTCTTTGCAAAGTAACTGGCATATAATAGATATGTAATATATGTCTATTATCATGACACATAATAGATAGACAATATATATTTGTTAGAATGAAAGCATAAAATTTATTGGCATCCAGAAAAATGAGTATAACAAAGAAACTAGGCCGGGCGCGGTGGCTCACGCCTGTAATCCTAGCACTCTGGGAGGCCGAGGCGGGTGGATTGCTCAAGGTCAGGAGTTCAAAACCAGCCTGAGTGAGACCCCGTCTCTACCATAAAAATAGAAAGAAATTAATTGGCCAACTAGTATATATATATAAAAATTAGCCGGGCATGGTGGCTTGTGCCTGTAGTCCCAGCTACTTGGGAGGCTGAGGCAGGAGGATGGCTTGAGCCCAGGAGTTTGAGGTTGCTGTGAGCTAGGCTGATGCCACGGCACTCACTCTAGCCTAGGCAAGAAAGCTAGACTCTGTCTCAAAAAAAAAAAAGAAACTAGAGAGCAATAGCCAAACAGTGAGAAGATTCAAACTGACACTATGTTTCACAGAAGTCTTGAACTGGTTATAAAATTTCCACTTCATAATTTGCTAAAAAACTAATCTGATACTAAAACCATGATGTTAATGAAGGAAGTTTTAAAAAGTCATTTAATCGGTTATTGTTTCATAACCAAACAACCAATATAAACAAAGCAGGGCATCAGGAGAAGCCACATCTGTGGATCAAGTTGACATTCTGAATCTTTTTATTCAATCTTTGGTGATGAATAGGGCCATCGGGAACACACTTGTTTAACAAAAGGTTATGGAACGCCTCCTACATTCCAAAGTACCGTGCGTATAGCAACTGTGCATGTATAGGGACCAGTACGTCTCTGTCCCCACAACCTCCTACAGAAAGGATCAAGTATTTCAGCTTTTGAAAGATAGAGTTCATTGGAATTGGGACTACCAGCCTCAGAACTCTGGAATTTGAGCGACAAGGGGACGTAGAGGCATCTAGCGCAAAACTAATTTTACAGATGAAGAAACCAAGTCTCAGAGAGATGAAATAACTAGTCCAAGGTCATGCAGCTCCTTCTTAGCTTCTGGTAACTGAACCCTGATCTTTCAACACCAAGCCTAGGGCTGCCCCCTTTTCATTGGCTTTGTTTGGCAAAAAAAGACTAGGAGCCAGGTAAACCCGTAAGGAAAAGTTAATTTGGAAAGCAGGAGAGCAGGCATTTGTCATATATAAAAGGAGCTCAAAGTAGAAGAAAGTGAGTCATACAGATAGAGGAGTTAAAAATACAGAGTTAAGGCTCTCAACACATCATGTGCACACTGTCATCTCTTCTCATGGAAGGAGAAAAGAAAAGGGAGAAAAGTTGCTTTGCTCTGACCTGTAAGTAGTATGTGCTGAGAAGTGTGGCAGGCACAAACCCGGGCGCCATAGACATGCGCTCACACCAGCTCTCAGCGCTGGCAGCGTGCCACAGATGGCAGAAGCTCCAGCACTTCTTACCTGATGGTGCCGGGTGGTGGTGACAACTGAGAAGGGCTGTTTCTAGCTTGAATTGGAGGAAAAACAATTTAAAAAACACACTCTAAGAATGTGTCTGAGTTATTGACCACTAAGAAAGCCGCGCAGAAGGCCCCATAGAAAAATGGAGTTTTATGACTTTATTACTTGGGGAAGAGTTATAAAGCCAAGGGTGTCCCCATGATCAACTGCTTCATAAATTTATATTAAGGGCTGAAGTTAGCAGTAAAAATTTTAAATTCTTCCAGCTCAGGGCCTCAGAAGCTGGTTGGGAGTTTCCCCTCATGTCACAGTGGGAGGGTCACAGAGAAGCCTAGATGTAGAGGGCTTTGCCATGCGCTGGAAGTAGTCAGGTGGGGGGAGGGGGTGAGAAGTTCTGCTGCCCCCGCCCCCGCACCCCTCCCCCAAAACATACTCTTTTGGTGTGAGCTTGATCCATATGAAGGCATTATTTGACTTTTCCATGAAAATTGTCAATAAGAGAGTAGGAAAAATGTACAGTGGAAAGATATCGAAAGAAATAGACAAAAGTGGTAGAATCATATTATTAGCTTGCCCATTGGTAAAGTTAACTGGAGGATGAGATTAAACAGAAGCCACTTTGGAATGAGTTTCTTTGCAGAGGAGTGAGAGGAAACATCCTTCCTTTGATGTACAGAGTAAGGATTTGTCTGTAAAGAGACAGCGCAGGTGTCTGGAGAGCAGTGTGCATGGTGACCTGTCCTCTAGGCCAGTGGAGATGTGTCTGTCTTACCTGACCAAGATACAGTCCTCACTAGAGATCAAGATCCAGTCCATGGAAAAAGGATGAGCCACTTGCTGCAGAGCCCAGAAATGCCTACTGTGACATCTTGTTCGTGTCATTTATTAATACTAGAGTTGGCGCTGTCTTAAGATGGGGTTATGGTTGACATTTTCAACAATCATCAGTGAGTCATTTGCCCAAATGAGGATCATGGTATTAATCTTGCATGCCTTTGGAACTGTTTAAAAAATGTCTGGTTTTTGTTTTTTAGTGTGTGTTTTGAATTCCCCTCTCTCTGTGGTTCTTGGTTTCTATCTCACTGCGTGCAGAGGATTTTAATTGTTGCTGTCTATCTGTGCTTTGCAGCATGAAAGAGTGATGCCTAAGGGCTCCTGGGGTGCCTTGGGGTTGATGGGTTTTGTGTCTGAGCAAGCAGATCTCACTGTAACCATGTTGGATTGCAGTAATAAACTTCTCCTTTTTTTCCCCTGTAGCACTGAAAGCCGAAAAGAGAAGAAAGCTGACTCAGGGAAAGGTGTTGACAGGGAGACTTGTCTATGACTTGATCTTCAATTTATTTTTTACATATATGAGAAGAGTGTCACAATTATTAATAAAAATGCTTTGATCATGTATTGTAAATTCTGTCTCTCATCCCAAATTCACCTTCATACTGTAAGTAGTGCAATACTTGTTTCATTTATGTGTTTAAACAACTGAGCAGTGAGACACCCTTGTGAGCAGAAACAGTAGGTAATGCAAGAATCTATGTGTTCCTTGCTGTATGTTAGACATTTGTAAATACTGGATTCTCATTGTCAGTTTTACGAGAGCAATAGCTTCCTTAAAGAAATAAGTCATATTTACCAAGTTTGTATTTTCCTACTTTAGTGACCTGAAGATGCCTAATAATTTCATTCAGAAGAATTTTGAAAGGTAGTCTTACTTCTTTTTATTTTTTGTAGGTTAGCATTAGTGACTTATTTCAAAAGACCCAAATCAAAAAGTTAGTTTGAAAGCATTTTTAATAATTGTATTTATGCATTTCCTTGATTTAATATGATACATTTAATACTTAATAATTTATATGTAACTGAAACTTAAAGTCATTTGAAAAAATATATAGAAACCTGTTCACAACTTGTTAAAAAGAATCAGATATAATGCAAAGGAGTCAAGTAGTATTTGCTTAAAATGCAAGTTGTGACTACATGATTAAATACTAGGCTTGTATGAAATGCTTTAGGAAAACTTTGTAACAGTTTTGTGAGATTTTCAATATAAACCTTTATCAGAAATGTGCTGTTAAGTTTCTTTCCCATTGAAAACAGATGTTTTCCAAATAAACCTATTATATACATACACATGGAATATCACATGTGAATCATTGTACATGAAATTCCACTCCTGTACAGTTATCTGCTGCTAGTGGTCATGCACTGCTTAATGCTGGTCCTGAATCACGTTCTAATGTTAGACCAATAGGTCTCCAATTGTAATTTTTTTTTCTGCAAAGTTTTTTCCACTTTTTACTTAATGCATGTTGTGGAAAACAGTCTTTTAAATGAAAATTTTAGACTTTGTTTGAGAAGATTCTGTATATATTTCAGTCCAAATGGAATAATCCATCTTTACCAAGCTTATACAAGAGGAAGGAAAGTTAAGAAGTTTTTGAGTATTACTAAAATTCAATTTCATTCCATTTTAGATGAATATAAACTTGATAAAGACTAAATCTCATAGTGCTCTTGGTTCCTAAGTATGATGAATGATGATCAACTTTATAATACTTCAATTTTCAAGTTTACAATAATTTAGAGCCTTGTGGCTTTTTCAAACTATCAGTTATGTACTCTATAAGTACACATGAAAAGTGAAAAAAAAGTTCCTCTTGTGATTAAGCTAATGAGGGCAAAAAATCAACAAAGCCTCCATTGAGTTCAACATTTTGATACATTTTACAAATTACCCTCACAATCCTTTAAAGTCTTTTTTTTTTCCTTGTGGAACGTGAGCTTGAAAATTATGGGAAGAAGAATTTGCAGTTAATAAAGTTTGTATTTATAAATGCTGAAGAAAAATACAGAAACTTCCTGTTTCAGATGTGTCACCTTTGTGTATTTTATAATAGAGATACTATATTGTAAACATTTCCATTGTTTTATGATTTAGCCAGTCAGTCCCAGAAGCAGCCTCTTAGTGTTTTAATATATTAATGACAGTTCTGTTAAAATGATCATAGTGAGTTACAAACCTTCACATGATCTCCTATTTGAATAAGCAATCATATCCACTGAAATTCTGTATTTCTGAGTATTTTTATAGTCATTTTGTTCTTGTGTGAATTTTAATGCTATCTCTATGTTAACCTAATATTTTGAAATCATAAAAAAATATAAGAAAAATGTAGTGTTATATATTTACTCCTAATTTCAGATTTCTGGTCAAAATTACTGAATATCTTGAATGTAATTTAGTGCAAAGTTTAAGTAATGTGTAAATGTGACTAGGATATTGTGTTTTTCACAACTAAGAAATGTTATGTGGAAATAAATATTTATCCTAACTAATTTCCTTGTACATTGTAAATTGTGATACAAAGTGTCTTGTCTTTTTTCTTCATATTAATTAGTAAATCAGTGTAGAATATTTTGACTGATTGAATATAATACTTAAATTTAGACACCCCTGAAGTTAAGAAACCTTGATGATTTAAACATTCAAGAGTATGTTTCAAGAGTAAACAAGTTTCATTTTATGAACAGAAAATTATGAGAACTATATAAGGACATATTTTCTCATTTTCCCAGAAATGGGTGCAAAGGACATTGCTCCCATGACTAGTAAAAAGCGCCAAGGTCATTAGCAGGATTCCTCATTATTAGAACTCTTTCGATTTCTGTTTTTAACTTCCACGGGGAAAGCATTTTCTAAAAGTTGTCTCCTCCCTATTTGTTACAAAAGTCAGATGGGACCATAATTCTTTTGTAGCCATCTGGCAGTGTGTTTTGGAGATAATTACATTCAGAACTCTATCTTAACCTACTGGTTGATATTTTTCTCTTGACTAGTGAATTTACTTTGTAATTGCTACTATTTAACAGCCTACGATATTGGGAAGTTTTTTTTTGAATGTCACTTTGATGAAGTTTTAATCTATAGTTTGATAGAAACTTTCCACTGATGATTCATAAACAACTTGTATTTCAACACTATGCCTAGATCTTTTAGTATTTTTCTTGACTCTTAAAAGTGTTACTTATTCTGTTTCCTATTTGCACTGACCAACCTCTGTTTTTGTTTTAACTTTAGCCTGTTTGCTCATGGACACTTGCCTATTTTACTATCATTGCAAGATTGCTCTCCAGTTTTTCCAATATATCTATTTCATATATTCACATGATGAAATTAACTTATCACCATTTGAAAGTTTTATGAGAATACTTTGGATAATATGATGATTCTTTAAATATCTACATTAAGGGGTTAGTTGTAGTCAGCCCACTGAAGAAGACTAAAAATCAAGGATTACTGCTAATGGTTTATTTTAGAAATCTATGTGGGGGCTCTCCATAGAAAGCTGCTCTAACTGACACAACTGCCATGCCAATTCACTTGGTGGATTGGCCACTACCATTTGTGCTGGAACTTTGAAAATCAGACCATGATCCTTGCTTCTAAGGGAAGGTGAAATACATACTTGTAATATAATATGATACTGAGTTGGTGGTTTGATTAAAGTGGTGAGTAACTCAAGGATGGACCTTGAGTTTGAGGAATTTAAGGAAAATGTTATAGAAGAGGTAGCGTATGAATTGGGATAGAAATGGGGAAGGAAAGTACTCCAAGAACTGCAAGGATTCTCAAACCTATATTAGTATTGAAATAAAAATGAAAATAAAAAATAAAGATGAATGGCTAGCTAGAGACTGGTATATTTGATATATGGCCCAGTATGGTGGAGTGTTAGGAGGGTAGTGAAGACTTGTGGGAAAAGATAGAAACACAAGTCAGGGACATTATAAATAATGTTAAATTCCATACTAGCACATTTGAATTTTGCCCATTAAGAGCTTTGAGTAATGGAGAGAAATAAATTTTTGAAAAGATTAGGGTGGCAGAACAGTACAGAATATAGTGAGGAAAGAGTAGAATCATCTCCTTATGAATTTTTCTCCTGTGATGACTCTCAGATGATAAAACCAAAATCTCCAAATTTCTATTAGGATAGAAAGCAGAGACAGGCTCAAGAATACTCCTTGGGCACCTAAAAAGTACCTCTAGACACGATAGATTTATTATAATTATTTTTATGTAGTGCATTCTTTTATATATATATGCACATATATGTACATATAGTTGTATTTGGAAAAAATGTGAAAAGCACAGCATCAATAGAATAAGCCTGAGAGTACTAAAAAAATTCTAAGTGTGGTACAAAATTCAGCCAATGGCTGCCTCATCAGAGTCCAGAAATCACCTTCCCCCCACCCACCCTTGCATCCTACCCAGCTCATCAATTCTTACCATGGAGTTAGCTTTCTACATAGGTACTCTTGCCCTGTGGTGTGTGTAGAGTCATAGATTTCTTTCATGAGACTTCTTTCTCCCATTTGTTTATAAACTCCTTGTAGGTAGGAATGGTGTTTGTTGTTTTACCCCTCCTTTGTAAACTCTCCAGAGCCCACTTCTGTGCCCTGCTGAGTACCCAGCCAGCAAAGGCTGTTGACTCATAAGTAAAATATATCAGAAAATTCTGCTGCTTTAGTGCAACGTTTGGGGGATGGACATGCTTGAAGCTCTTACTTGAAGGGGAAGGGGGGGCATGGGCAATATATGTAACCTTAACACTTGTACCCCCATAATACGCTAAAATAATAATAAAAAAAAGAATGATTAGAGATCCACAAAGGATTCTCACTGACGTGTCAAAAGTAAAAACTTACTGAGTACCTTTATGTGCCCAGCACTTGAGGACGCAGAAGCCTAAGGCAAAACCCTGTGCCACCTATGGAGCCACCCAGGCAGGAGGAGCAGCTAAATAGCTGTGACTAAGAAGAGGGAAATACGAAAGAAAGGTGCCAGGCATTGCATATCTGTAAACCTTCACAGCAATGCAACTATTGTGGGAGTAAGTATTTTTTTCAAACTAAGACTCTGGAGTTCAAAGAGTTTAAGTAATGTTGTTCTTTTTTTTTTTTTTATTTCAGCATATTATGGGGGTACAGATTTTAAGGTTTCAATAAATGTCCATTTTACCCCCTCCCCCCACAAATCTGAGAATGTTGTTCTTTAAACACTTCCCAGCAGTGAGCAGTGGTGCTGAGAACTTAACCCAGGTCCCACAGGGAGGAGGTGCAATGTGACCATCTTCCTCCTCACTAGGGTAGCCATTCTGGCTCATGGAACCAGAATAAGGTTAAGAAGAGTAATGTTTCCTCTCAATGATACATTTTCTTTCTTGCCCATTTTTCTGTAACAGTGGAAATCAAACCAACCCAAAGAAATACTTTTTTTTTTTTTGCTCATGAATCACAAATACCATGACGTTGGATAGAAGAAGCTTAAAAAAACAATTGAGTGTTTTGGTTGTTGAATGGTCACACTCCTCACCATGCTTACACATGCTTCTTAAACAATTTGACAAACTTAGAGAGTTGGTTCAGATGAAAGGTTGTGTAGAATAAGAACTATGATTAAGTTTGTTGAAGTTGAAAGCCTGTAAGCACCAGAGAAGTTACCCTTCTCAATCGGTAGTTAGTTAGGAAGTTCTCACTCTTTTAATTAATGCAAATTCTTGAATTTAAATGTTGATATTGTCACAGAAAGATTAACATGCAGAAAGATTGTAAGTATCTACTGAGCATAACATTGGTCTTATTAGTACCATGCTCTGATCGGTTCTAGTGAGGTAGTGATGTTGTGCTCTATAACCCTCATTTGTCTCTTATTCTCAACTTTCTGTATCCCTCAGATATTCTGAATGCATGCTCTAGGTCACTCAGGATGTATGCAAAAAGGTTCTTGGACACCACTGAAATAGCTGTCACAAAGTTGGCCAACAAAATTCTCTTACTTTATGGAAAAAGCCATGCTTGTGTTTTGGTGTTTTTTTATTTAGAGTTTATTGAGTCTTAAATATTGCCCAAATCTAGTAGTCTTATAAATAGGTATTCTCACATCAACTTAGGGCAGAAGCAGCAAAAGTGACCACCTGTGAATAAGAAAGGAAACAGAAAATATCCAGAATGACATACAGCCTGATATGATCATTGATATTTATAATCGGGGCTCTAAGTCATCAAGGATGCATTGGATTATGTTCTGTGCCTGATATTTAAGAAAACATGGAGGTATGTAATCACTTTTAGCAAGGTTTCCACCAAAAACAGTCCAAGAATAATTTTAAAAGTGGTTTTCTAAAACTCTTGTTAGAAACTTAAACAGCAAACCCTGTGTCCAAAGAAGAGACTATTTCTCCCTTCTTTTGTATGTGCCCCTGGGCACTGATGTACTTTAACAGGATGTTTATAAAAGGATACTTTATTAATAACTATGCATTTACCTGCAGAGGTTGCAACTGTCAATGGCAAGATAAGTCTGCGTAACTTAGTGGTATGAATGGTTTGTGCATGTTTCAAATTTACCCTCAGATTAAGTTTATCTCTGAAAACTTGTCAATTTCCTTATCTTCTTTTTCCAGTAAGCTGATTTAGAACTTTTATTGGAGAGTAAACCTTGTCCTATGTGGGTCAAATGAAAACTACTTTGACTTTATTCATATCATTACCATTTTCAGTCCCCAATGCCTGAAAAATATGTACTGGGACTAACTCTAGGCTCTAGAGAAAACATTTAGCATGTTTAGAAACTAAAGAAACAATGAATTCAATTAATATAGATATTATACAAATATTATACAATATCTGCTTTAGATACTATTCTTGTAATATTTGGTTATTATATAATATCTGATATACAATATCTGGAAGATAAAAGGAGAATTTCTATTTAATATGCTTTTATGACTATTCTGTCTAGGATGTGAACATATATTATTACTGCTTCTTGATATAGAACTCTGCAAAGATTGGTTCAGCTACTCACAATAATTGGACTATGTTAAGAAGTACAATTTTGACAAGATCCCTATGGGTTTGAAGGTCAGTTTGTGGTTCCAATGGATGAGTGAGATTTGAGATTTAATTAAGGTGAAGTTACTCAATGGCATGCTTGGAAAATATAGTTGAAGATGGATTTCACAATCCTCTGTCCATGCCTATGCATGACTCACCAGTCTCATGTTGAATTGATAGATTTTTTTTCCATTTCTTCCATTTTTAGATTTTTATGCTGTAGCTCACCCTGTCTGGGAAAACTTTGTCTAGCAAATGGTCTGAAGCTAAGTTTGAATTCATAAAGTCACTTTTCAAAAAACAAGGCTGTTTTACAAATAATTGAAACAAAAATCATGTTTCTTCAGTGATCTAGACATTGCATTGCTAGGCCAAATTCAGCATTTGAAATTTATAGTTTCACTTTTATGGTGATGTCAACCAAAAATAATTGGTCAAAACACTTAAGTGATTAACTTGACATTTTTTAAAAATTCTACTGAGGAATCAGAACTGCCAAAATGATATTGCTGATATTATTTATTCTTATATGAGCCTCATGATAGTTCCCTAGAATAAAATTATAAATTATGCATTATACAAATAACTAAAATTATTTTAAGTTGATTTCTCAAAAGCTGTATGTATTTTTGATAACAGAAATTATGTCTATATTAGACAAAAACCTCATGAACCGCTTAGTGTAACACATTTTTGTGTATCTAATATTTTACAAAAGCTGAACACTTTCCATGTTTACAAGGTAGTCTTGGATTACTAACAAAATAAACATGAAGCTTTCTGGATAAACGTGTCCATATGCTAGTGTGGTTTAGGTCTGATTCAAGACATAACTCATTATTTCTGAAAAAATGAAGGCACATTTATTAAGTGACCAGGAGAAAACCCACAGTATGTAGAATGGGAATAATAAGACATAACATTCTAGTTTATTTTCCATTTTTAAAAATGAGTCCAAGGAAGTTAAAACATTCTTTTAATTAAGATGCTTAAAGAAGTGAAATATGAAAAATTGATGCAAGACTCCTTCAAGTTAGGATTTGCGATACAAATATTTTCATCTTTTAACAGGGCAAGCTGATGTGTTCACATCTCAGTTTCAAGCTGCCTCTTTCACTAGGAACATCAGTATTTTTTTTAAAGCACATTTACAATGCTTTCCCATCACCCTTGCTGTGTTTTTGTAGCACCTATAGCCATAACTGGCACCTGGGGGCCTGCATTGCTGGCAGTTTCCCTTACATTTCTTTGGAGTCTATTCAACTGCTGTGGTTTTACTTAGAAGTCAGTGCTTTGCATATTTGATTTCCTGAGACTGTTTGAATAGTCTTTCTCAGAAAACTGTGCCAGTCTGGCTGTGAGCAGCTCTTCTCCGAGGGGAGCTGACAGTAGCCTGGTCGGATTGGTATGCTTGGACTTGGGTTCCCAGCCATGCCCTGCTGTCTTCTCTCCCTGTTCCCTCTTACCTTGTCCCTGCCCACATCTTGCAATCCCTTTAAAGAGGACAAAATGTGGACTAGTCCAATTAGAAAAAATTAAAATGCTGCCAGGGAACCTATGTGAGGCTCACATAAAAACAAGTCATATTTGTTGTTCCAGCAGCTGATGTGGAAATGATTTTAAATGATAAAAAAAACAACAGACTGGATAATTCAAATTTCTGTAAGGTAATAATCTGTTGTGAAGACAGAGTCCCTACTTTTGATTATAGATATGGGTTTGGGGAACAAAGGTAACCTTAAATTTCTTGATTTAAGTGCATTTTTTTTTTTTAAAGATCATCTTGACAGTGAGGTTTTGAGATAATGAGAACAAACATGGCTTTTAATAAACTTTAAATGGCATGTCGTTTTGAGGTGCTAAGGTAAAGAGAAGCATTGTTTTATGAAGTGGGTCATATGGGTATATATATGTTGGTGTGCTGTGCTGCTAGCGATTCCATGGTCTTCGTCAGTATACCACTAGAGAGAGAAAGAAAAAGGGCAAAATTAGGAAGTCAGTTCTCTTTTTTTTTAAAAAAAAATAATAAATTCCAATGTGCTCTCCTAAGCATACGTAGTATAAAACAGAGTGTTTTAATTCCTGAAACTGTTTATACACTGAAACAGGATCAAACAGGGCATGTTGTTCTGTCCTACAGAAGTCTGATTCTCTGTTGCAGGTGCTGGGAGAACTCACTGTGAATTTGGCTTCCTGCATGGTGCTTTAAGGATCTGTAAATTCTAAGTAAAACACCCAAATCCATTTCCATATTGGACTCAAAGGACACTTAGAAACATGCCATGCATGGGGAGGAATGTTTATCCCATCAAGCCCACTTGTTTTAATTAAGTGTTATCAAGTGTCAAATTTCTTTCCACTGTAGTAAGATAAACTGTATTAAAATAAATGAATTTTTAGAAAGCATTTTTCCTAATTTATATCACTAAGAAATTGGAGAAGTCTATTTTCATATTACATACGTATGTTTCACGTAAGTGAGGTCAAAAGTCAAATGTAGTAAGTACTGCTCTGGTTGTTCAAAAAAGGTTACATGGAAAATGTATTATTTGACACATTTAGATTTTACACTGGCTTTTTCTTTTTACCTATATGTCTAACATTTATGTAGCCGGAGTCTGTGACCTGAGGCAAAAATTTATCAACCCAGACTTTATTAAATAATTGGAAAGTCATTTATTTCTGGGCAAACATATGTTATGGAGACTTAAGTTAACTTTTAACAAATGCTTAAGTGTGATGTGTCTTTTCTTTAAATAGTGGAAAAATTCAACTTCTGATAAAAATCTGACCCAAAAGATATACCATTTTTTCTTGGTATCAAATAACTGTTCCTCTCCTATACAGTGGGCACCACTTGAACTGAGCACAAAGCAAATCATGTGTGTTAGACTCACAGCGGTCCCCAACCTTTTTAGCACCAGGGACCGGTTTCGTGAGAGACAATTTTTCCACGGATGGTGGGGTAGGTAGATGGTGGGCAGCTCGGGCAGTGATGCTATGATGTGGACCAGCTGTAAGCTGTAAAAACATATGAAGCTTTGCTCGCTGGCCTGCTGCTCACCTCCTGCTGGGTAGCCCCGGTTCCCAAGTTTCATGGAAGAAAATTTTTCCATGGATGTGTTGCCGGAGAGTGGAGTGGGGGCCGGTGGACCTCTGCAGACCAGTCCCTAACAGGCCAGGGATGGGACTGGCACTGGTCCACGGCCCAGGGGTTGGGGACTAACAGTATTAGAGGACACACATATACATATGCGTGTGTGCATATATATATATATATTTTTTTTCTTCTTAATCTGAAAATCTCTAATGCAAAAAATGAATTTGACTTAATACCTAAAAAGATCCTCTATATAGGCAACAACAGCTCTAGCCATTTCCGACTTTATAATACAATCCTAATCGTTTATTGCTTGTGGTTGTTCGACAAAGACAACATGGCAAGTAAAACTAACGTGTGCCGATCATTAATACCCCACTGTTGTTAGAATGGCTAGTAATACACACTAGACAGAAATGGATTTTCATATTTGAGCTGAGCTATCATCATGCTGGTTTCACTTTAGAATTGCTCTGCCACACACTTACTGAATAAGTGATTACTTTTTTTGAATCAAAAATAGGGAGACTGAACAATCACATGAATAGGAGAGTAGTGTTTTGACACTCACGGGACATGCACATTGTGCTTCTCAACCCCAAACTCTCTAATATTATTGAATATTACTCTTTGTATGGCTCAAGGATAGCATTCCTCTGACTTCACATTGGAAAAATAAAACTCCTTTTTATTCCGTCTCTGTCTCTAGTACTTCTATGAGAAGTAGGCCTGAAAGAGGAAACTACGCCCCACCAGCCACTTCCCTTCCCGAGCACAAAGTTTTTCTATACCATTGCCTGGAAATCCACTCCAGCATCCACCAAGGCTTTGGAGATCTGAGCTGACTGCTGAAAGTGAACGTTATCTGCAGGGAGAGAAAGGAAACATAAAGTAGCTAATAGCTCTTCCAGTTTTCTGATACCAAAGGGTGGGAAAGGCATAAGAAGAAAGGGACTGTTTGAAGTTCTAGAACTCAGCATCCCATTTAGCCCAAGACAAGTGAGTTGTGGAAAGCAACACTGTTTTATTGAAGTAAATGTAACAGTCTTGCCCCTCATGCTTTTGTTTTGTCAGTAGTGAAATTGCAAACCTGTCTGTGATACTAAAAAGTCTAATTAACTGAAACTCACCATCTGCTGTTCCATGAATAAGGAGGTACTCAACTTGTTTAAAATTTTCAGCTCTGCTCATGACTGTTGAATTCTGGAATTGGGAAAAAGAATGTCATTATTCAAAAAAGGATCTGCCATAAACTGATTTTTCACTTCAGTTTACAAAATAAAATGTTTTCAGCTGGGGCCCCCTTTGATACAAAATATAGCAAACCGATATTCAAGCAAATGCTGTCTCCATGCATGGCAGAATGCACAGCATGCCCTGTGCCTGGGAGACAGGACTGGAAAGGGAGGATGCCACATCTTCCCTGCACATGCAGGGAGAGGGCACCTGCCACCCAGCCTGCATGCAAAACCCCTTGAGTCCCAGATCCCAGATTGGCTGTGTCCTATGCATTATCACAGGGCAGAGTCTCATATTAGCAATGTATGTTCCATGGGCTTCTGCTGTAGTTCAGCCAAAAAGTGTATTACCATGGCAACCATGTGTCACATGGTGCCATACATGCTACATTTCAAAGAGCCTGTACATAGCATTTGCAACTAAACATACTCTGCAATATGTCATGTGAACTTTGGTCCACATTGCTAGGCTCTGAATGAAAAGCAAATATTACCTCTTTGGGAACAGATGTTAAAAACCTAGGCAAATGTAACATATGGGAGGGGAAAAGGGTAAAAAAGATCAAGAATGGCCTTAGAAAATCAGTGGGTTGTTGTCTGCCTCATTCTGTATACTGGAGGAAATGCTGCTATTGGATCAAATCATTCCCAAATCAGCCAGGGAAATAGGATAAAAAATCGGGAGGTCAGCTTTTTGAAACTGCTTTGTGGCCCGAGTCAGGTAGGGCTCCTAGAATGAGGGTCAGGGGTCTTGGATGACAAAGCCATTGAAAGTATAGTATTAGTCATCTGATTACAACTGGGAGATACTTACAAAGTTGGGATGAAGATAGAAATGTCACAAAGACACTATAGTGCCATCGGGAGGGAGTGAGCTAGAGTCTGCTTTGATTGTCCTATTAAGGGTTGGGCTGGGCAAGGGGCAGTAGCCTTTCTATGGCTGGTCCTGCAGCCAAAGTCCACTCGATGAGAGCCAAGGTGTGTATTTAACAGATACCGTTGTAGCTAACAACAGCTTAATATTTTTGATGGGAAGCCTGGTGGCCTGGCAGGAAGGGAATAATAAGACTAAGGTGTGAGTGTTCATATTCTAGTCCCAGCTTCACTATCAGTGAGCTGTACCACTGGAGACATGCTGCTCTCTGAGCCTTGATTTCTGTGAAATGGGAGTAAGAATTTAGTCTCCCTTTATCCATGGTTTCACCCTCTGCAGTTGCGGTTTCCTACAGTACAGTACACGAAGATATTTTGAGTAAAAGAGAGAACACATTCACATAACTTTTATTGCAGTATATTGTTACAATTGTTCTATTTTATTATTATTGTTGATCTCTTAATGTGTATAATTTTAAATTAGATTTTATTATAGGTATGTATGTATAGAAACAGGAAACAGTGTACGTGGGGCTTGGTACTATCTGTTTTCAGACATCCACTGGGGTCTTGGAATGTGTCCCTGTGGATAAGGGGGAGATGACTATAACTCCTCTTACTCCCTCACAGAAATACGAGCCAAGAGACATGGCAAACCATTTTATTTTATTTTATTTGGTTAAATTTATGATGCCGATAGGGGAATTCTGTGACACAGTGTTTCTGGAAAAAAGACATTGTGTATCCAATTATCAGGACAGAGTCACCCAAAATGTTTCAGTTGACTGAATGTCCCAAGGTCACCCTGTCCTGATACACTTGGAACAAATGCCTTCCACTCTTGAGTAGGCTACTTCCCACTTGTCTTGACCATATTCCATTTCTGAACCCAAATTGAGGATTTATTCATGAGCTTTCAGAATAAACACCGAGGACTTCTTAAAAGTTATACTTTTATTTTACTTTGTTTTTGAGAAACTTTTTATCTGGTGAGATGTCTGAGATAAATACATCCATGTATAAATCCAATCCTCCACTCCAACATCACCATTCATCTATCCACTCATTTTTTATATAGGCAATCAATATTTATTTGTTATATACCCCACTAAACAATAAGATCCATAAGAAAAAAGATTTGTCTATATTGTTCATTATTCTTAGCATCTAATACAGTGCTAAGTATTTACAAATTAAATGACTAAATGAAAGAACTTATTAAGCACTTGTACTGTCCACTATATTTGGTCCTAGTTTTGCAGAGGCAAGTGTTATCAGCTGGGCTGGACAGAAGAAAATAGTCTCATTCTGAAATATACTGAGATATGTTTTGCCCACTTTCAAGCAATACACTGTGCCATTAGTAATAATAGCTAACGTCTATCGAGCATTTACTCTGTCACTGTGTTAAGCACCAGGAAGGATTTACAAAAGCACTGTTGTATCTAATTCTCACAACGTGCATGTAAAATAGGTCTACACCAACCCTGCTTTATAGATGGAAGCATCGAGATCCAGAAGATGAGTAACCTGCACCAGGTACAATATAGCAAGAGCTGAACAAGATCGACGGCAAAGCCCCTTTTACTTCCTATGTTGCACTGCGTCTCTACTAAAATTCCAAGCTGCTTATAATGTGGTCTCCAGCAAAGGAACAGTGTGAAATAAAATGTTAATTAACTGTCTTGGAATTTGAAGTACACAATAATAGCAGGAATACTTAGGTACCTTCCAGAGACCCCATGCCTTCTCAGTCTGAAATAATCAGGAAAGAGATTGGTCTGCACAGCCCTGCGAGATCTGGGAGGCATATTTTCCAACTGTACAAGTGATGTATAGCCTAAAATGGCAATAGAACTCTGAGCAATTTTCTGCCCTTCAGAGAGGAAAGGGTCAAAATAAATCCCCTAAAAGACACTTTTGTGCATTCAAAGCTGGAGCCTGGAGAGGCTGAGGCTTGAATAGACAGTGAACATTAACGTCCTGGGTCGCAGGGGCAGGTGCCCCGATGAGAGTCCTCTTTAGTGATCCTTTATGCTAGCCATGCTCTCAGCCTGCGCTGACTTCCTCCCTCCTTGTTTCTCCCCAAATTAAATTTAGCTCTTTGCTCATGGAAGATAGTCAACTTTAACACCCAGACCTGACCCAAATATACAACTGTGTCACCTCACCTCACCTCCAAAAGCCTCATGGGCCTGCCTTGCTTGGCAGCTTGAATAGCAAAAGCTGCTCCTACAACCTCCCCGAGCCATGAAACTGAGAAATGTCATTGAAACATAGAGTAATAGTTAGGAGACATATAAATACGCAGGACAGTTAGCAAGGAATGTGATAACTACTGGAGTTTGGACCAAAACAGTTTCTGGCTGCCTTTTTTTTTTCTTAAATGGAGTGAATACAGGCTGAAAGAAGACAATTTTTATAAACAAGTAAAACCCTGAGCCTAAGATAAATGTTGTGATGTACACACTGTAGCTGTGATGAACTAGACATGGTGAGAAATGCAACATACTGAGAAAAAGACGAAAACTGTGATAAAAGTGTCATGATGCAAATTGTTTTACATTAACAATATTACACTACAAAGAAAGAAAGACAAATACTTTAATGCAGCAAGAGAAAAATAAAACAAAAGCTTCCCCTGCAACTGCAAGATAAGTGTGCCATTTCAAATGCACACTTCCCCTGCTCACTACGAGAAGTCTCCAGAGGGACCTCTCTGGAAGAGGGAGACAGGCAGCCGGGAGACACACACACACTTTAAGGCTCTCAGGCTGCACAGAACATTATTTCCCCCCAGGTAAACGCAGCTGTGTCACCTTGCCTCTAGAACCACTGATCACTCCCTCCTAGACTTTGCATCCTGGCTTCCCAATTAAGACTCTTTACAGTTCACTGTATGGCACACTTTAAGCTGCAGAGGTAACATACAAAGCCAGTGAAAGAAATGCATGCATTCATTTAAGGTATGATTAATGATTAGAAAAAATTTAATTATGCTATTTTAACCCACCAAGATAGGATAATCCCCCTTTGCCTATCCATGGAAACAGAAATAAAAAAGGAAATGGATGACTAAGTTAGAAGCTGAATAGTCTATCACCAACTACTAAAAAGGAAACTCAGAGTGATAAATGGGCAAGGATGCAATGGTGGTGCAGTTGGCACTCTCCTGAGGCTAGAAACTTCCGGAGAGCCCCGCTGCCAGCAACAGTCTGGCAAAGAGAAGTGGGAAGGATTGGTCCAGTGGCAGTGCCGATTCCACAGCATCTCTGTGAGGAGCTTTTCCTTCAATCCCCAAGAAGAACCATCTGTAGCTGCTCGTTGGATCATGCTGGTTCCTCAGTTACCTTCCAACAAATAAATCTTTGTATTTTTGAAATAAAAGAGAGAGCTGCAAAGAGTAGGGGAGTACTACGAGAAACAGAAGCTATCACAATTGTTAAGTGACCCCTTGTGCCCTCTAGGAACCATAAGGACAATTTGCTCCCCTAAGATAATAACGATGGCAGCTGCCATGATTTGAAAGCTTGCTTCAAGGCAGGCACAGGCATCTCATTTAATCATTTCGATAACACTGGGAGGTAGGTCTGATTATCCCACTATCCAGATGAGGAAACTGAGGTTCAGAGAGGTTAAGGCATCTCCTCAAGCTCACACTGCTGGTAAGTGGTGGAAACGGAATGGGAATACATGTCTGTCTAACTCCATGTCCCTTGCTATCACGTTCTACTGTCACTTGCCATCAGTGTCAAACACCCATCACTATTTCCAGGCTCTCATAGAAAAAGCAAGTAGTCACTGGGCCTAATGGACAGCAACCCAGCACTTTAGTAGGATATGACCTTGGGTTTACCAGCTTGCTCTATGAATTCTCCTACTTGCAACCAAAGCTGCACAAATAATATTAACTGATGCCATTTTGGGAAGCATCATTAATGCCACAACAGAGGCCACACAAAATGTTTAAGAAAAAAATGAATGCAACCCACTATATCGGATGTTTTACTTGTTTACATCTATCAAACAACTGTCCCCATGAGATGCCAAGGAAAGAGCTCCCATCAACCCCAGACAGGGGGCTCTACCTCA